AGAGAGGGATAGAGAGAAACATCAATGAGAGAGACATCGACCAGCTGCCTCTTGCACACCCCCTACTGGGGATGTGCCCGCAACCAAGATCTATGCCCTTGAACAGAATTGAACCTGGGACTCTTCAGTCCGCAGGCCGACGCTCTATCTACTGAACCACACTGGTTTCGGCTTTCTTTCTGTTTTAATTATTGCTTAGAGGGCTCCTAACTGCTCACCCGCCTGCCTGCCTGCCTGATTATCCCAACTTTCTCTCCTCCCCCCCCCCCCCCCCCCCCGCAGATCTTGTTGCCCCACACAGCCTGCTGCTAAGGCGTTTGGTCGCCCCTGACTGACCCCCCTGCAGGCCTGGTCGCCTTGCGTCGGGTCACTTGCGATGGTCGCTTAGGCTCTTATTATTATAGACCCTTGTGAATTTTCCCTCACTTTTATGGTCAAACGACTTATAACCAAGTGTGGACATTGTTAGGTCTGATCAAACCATTGAACGCCTACCCTCTCCCCGGGAATGGACCTTGGGGACACTTGACAGTGGACATTCCGCTTGCTGAGACCATGACCTCTCCCCTCGGAGTTTCCCATAACCCGGACCTGCACAGAGAATTCTCTGCCCAGAGCAAGCCTGCAGAGCATCCGTTAAAAACCTCTGGCTCCCCCGTTTTGGATGCCGGAGCCATCTGGGCCTCCTGCGTTCCTCCTGCTCAGCCTTAACAGAAACAAAGTACGTGGACATTAGTTTAAAAAAAAATTGTGATTTGATCATGCCACATGCTGCCATAGCCAATTGTGGTTCTGATGCTTCTCTGTCCCTTCACACTTTTTTTTTTTTTTTTTTTTTTTGCCTTTTGGGGTGACTTGCAGTATTTACGGAAAGATATTTCATGCAGAATTGGTGGTAACTGTCCTTCCTGGATGAGGAGTGAGGGGGTGGGAAGCACTTCTCAGTCCTTTAACTTTTTATTGGACACGCTCCCTCCATCCAGACTTCCCACTTGGTGTACAGTGTCCTGGGCATCTCAGAGCATTTTGTCTGGTTCACAGGCAGGCTTTCTCAGCCACTCCCACAAGCCCGGGCACGGGGGTCCTGCCAGGGCCAGCCTGACGATGGAACTGGGCTGAGGTAGGGAGGTGGGAATTGAGAAGAGAAAGAAAGACAGGAAAGCGGGGTTGGGAGGACTACAGGTAGTCATTGACCAACTGTAGCAGGTTTATTAACTGTGTGATGCTCTTTATACTTAAAACGCTGAATGGGAGGTCTGTCAAGAGGAATGTACTCTTTGTTCCTCTTCATCTCTAAGGGACAGAGCAGAAGGACAAATTCTCCGTACAGCAATTCTCAGTAAATAGTTACAGACTGCAGAAACCGGTTTGGCTCAGTGGATAGAGCGTTGGTCTGCGGCCTGAAAGGTCCCAGGTTCGATTCCGGTCAGGGGCATGTACCTTGGTTGCGGGCACATCCCCGGTGGGGGGTGTGCAAGAGGCAGCTGATCAATGATTCTCTCTCATTGGCGTTTCTAGCTCTCTATCCCTCTCCCTTCCTCTCTGTAAAAAAAAATGAATAAAATATATTTTTAAAAATCAATAATATATATATATATATGGAAGGAGCTTCTACCCTCTACTTAAAAAATATATATATATAGTTACAGACTTCTTGGCAAGTCATGCAAGGTTGCTCTCATTCTGCCGATGGTCGCCGTCCACACAAGCCTAGGAACGCTGTGTGGGTCGGGGCCAGCCCTGCCCGTCCCTGGAATGCAGGGCCCTGTCAGCTACACCGGCCTCCAGCGGCCCGGCCCAGAGGGGCGGGTGGTCAGTGAGCGGCGGGCGGTCACTCAGGGCCCGGGGGCCTCCGGGGCGGGGCCGGTCCCTCCAGGTCCCCGCCGGAGCGCGCTGAGGCCGGGCCGGTGCGCGCTCCCGGGGCCGCCCAGCCCCGCCCGCACCATCGCGGCGCCGGCCGGACCCCAGGTCCCCCAGCCGACCGTCCTCCTTCCCGGGCGGAGCAGGAGGAGGGGCGCCGGGAGGAAGGGGCCGAGCCGAGCCCGGGAGCAGGAAGGAGGGAGGAGGAGGCGTTTCCTGCCTTTCCCGGCGCCGCCGGCCACTCCCTCCTCCGGCTGGAAACGCCCAGGCCCGGACCGAGCCGCCGCCGGACCAGGTCAGCGCGAGGCCGCCGCGGGCCCGGGGGTCCGGGTCGGGGTCCGGGGCCGGGACCGCCCCTCCCCGCCCCCCGGCGGCCAGGACCGGCCCGCCCGGCCTCCGCCCGGCCTGGAGCCGCCGGGAGCCGCGGGAGGCCGGGGCGGGAGGCCGGGGGGAGCGGGCGGCGCCGGGCCCCGGCTTTGTGGGGCGGGGACGGGGTTCGGGGTTCGGGGGGACGGGGCGGGGGCGGGGGACGGGGCGGGAGCGCCGGGGACGGGCTGGGGCGCTCCGCAGCCCGCATGGCGCCGGCCTCCTCCCCGTCCGTCCAAAGGGCACGGCCCGGGCGGCCGGAGCGCGGAGCGCGGAGCCCTGAGCGCAGGAGCCGCGGGACCGCGGTCCGGGCGCCCGGGGCGGGGCTGCGGGTTCCCGGGGAGGGGGGGGGGGGGCGGGTAGGGTTAGGGTTAGCGGCCGGAGGAGAAGGAAGAGGAGGAGGAGGAGGAGGAGGAGGAGTCACCTCCGGCCCGGCCCGGCCGGTGCGGCGGGTCCGGCGGGTCCCCTCGGGGAGGGAGGGGCGCCTGGCGGAGCTGCGGGGAGATGCCTCCTGGGCTCACAGGTCCTGCCGAGGGATTTGTGTGTATGTGTTTATGTGAATTTTAAAAATTTGCATATCGTCGAACTCACTTTTGGGTGTACATTTCAGGGAGTTTTCTTTGTTTTTTAATTTTTTTGTTTTGCTTTTATAGATTTTCCAGAGAGAGGAAAGGAGAGGGAGAGAGAGCTAGAAACATCCATGAGAGAGAAACATAGACCAGCTGCCTCGTGCACACACCCCTCTGGGGATGTGCCCACAACCAAGGTCCATGCCCCTGACTGGAATCGAACCCAGGACCCTTCAGTCCGCAGGCCAAGGCTCTATCCATTGAGCCACACCGGTTTCGGCTCAGGGAATTTAAAAAAAAATATCTTATTGATTTTTACAGAGAGAAAGGGAGAGGGATAGTCAGAAACACCGATGACAGAAACATGGATCGGCTGCCTCCTCCACACACTTCTCTGTGGATGTGCCCGCAACCAAGGCACATGCCCTTGCCCAGAATCGAACCCGGGACCCTTCAGTCCGCAGGCCGAGGCTCTACCCACGGAGCCACACTGGTCGGCTTTTTCAGGGAGTTCTGACCAATGTGCAGTCTAGTGGCTGGCCCAGCCATCAAAATGCAGAATAGTCCGTCACCCCAAGTTCCTTCCTGCTGCCCTGGTGGGCACCCCCTCCCCCGTTCGGAGCTCCCGCAGCCCCGAGCTGCTCCCTGTAGTGTGGAGTGTCCCGTGTAGCCTTCAGTCCGCAGCTCACGGAGCACCCTGCACATAGGATCTTCCATCTTATCGCTGAGGGGTGCGGGCACAAAGGCCTGAATAGTGTATCTAGGTCACAACCGGAAAGGCTCAAATCCTGTTTTTACGGCATGAGAAACATCTCAGCACTACAGCTTCTCAGGAAGTGTAAGCGGACAGAGCCCGGGACAGTCCCCAGTCGCGCAGTCATGCCTGTCCTGTGCACACGCTTGTTTCGTTGGCGGTTTCCTCGGTGTGCCGTTTGGGAACAAGGAGGTGGTAGTACACGCGTCGTCACGCTTCTCCCTCGGTCATCCTGGCTCCCTTCCACCCAGACCGTGGAGATCTCTGCACGCCGGCGTGTTCTTGGAAGGCACGGGCGTGCTCAGGGTTCCGAGGGCCAGGGTTCCCTCTGGCCTCTCACCGTGTGATGGTCTGTGTCCTGGCTCCTGCTCTGGCTCCGCCCACACCAGCTTCTAGAGAGGCCAGACAAAACAGACGGCAGGCTGGGAGGCTGCTCGGTAGGTAGGCACTCTGAGATGAGACCACCGCGTGAGGAGTGTTCCGGAGAGAACTCGGCCGGTCGGTCGGTGTGGCTCAGTGGTTGGGCATCGAGCTGTGAACCAGGGGGCTGCCGGCGGTGAGGCTCCGTGCGTCTCTGCAGGGCAATGGCCGGGTTCGCGGGCTGTGCTGTCACTGCCCAGGGGTGGATGGAACAGGAAGTTGGGGTGACAGAAGGAAGTTGGTAATGAAAGAAAAGGCTGTTTCCCCCACAATGCCGGGGAGATTGGAAACTATTGGCTACAGTTTAAGGTGGGAGCGTGCGGGCGTGATTGGTGGCGTTGGCGGGAGTGTCCTGTGAATGCGTGCCCGGGAGGACCCTGCGGTCCCGCTGGCTCCTAGCCTGGCTCCTGCTGACTCACCGCCCGTGACCAGACGGTGCCGGCTGTGCGGCTTCCTTCTCCTTTCTGTCTCCGCGGCGGCTGTGGCTGGCAGCCCTGGTTAGACGCATTCTATGGAGCATCGCCCTTGGCCGGCGATACGATGGGACGTGGCCCAGTGAGGAAGCTGCCGTGAAACAGCTGCGGCTCCCTGGGTCCCGCCGCCCGGACGCCCTCAGTGGGAGGCAGGCTGCGGTGTGCCCAGTGCTGCCTGGAGCGGGCACACGGGCTTAGGCAACATCCAGCTCCACGTCTGTGCTGCTGCACGCAGCCGCGGGGCTGGGCTCGGCAGCGTGCCCTCCCTGTCACCTTCACCCCAGCCCTCTCCTTCGCCGTCCTGTGGGCTGTCCCTGTGGTCGGGGTGCCAGCATGTCACCTGCTTGCAGGAATGTCTGACCCCCCCCCCCCCTTCCTCAAAGAGCCCTCTGTGGACAGCGGGCCACGGGGGGAGGGGCCCGGAAGGGAAGCCAGGGTGGCAGCGACCCCTGTGCCTGCATCGCGACGCCCTGGCTGGTGAGCCCTGGCCGGGACCGTCCAGCGCCGTGCCTTCCTTCCTCACAGCGCCACTGGCTTCGTGTTGTCTTCCAGGCCAGGATGGCGGCCCAGGTGACGCTGGAGGACGCGCTGTCCAACGTGGACCTGCTGGAGGAGCTGCCTCTGCCCGACCAGCAGCCCTGCATCGAGCCCCCGCCGTCCTCGCTGCTGTACCAGGTGGGTGCGGGGCCCCGTGACGCCGGCCTCTGGACTCGGGCCTCCCCGTCACAGCCTGTCTCTTCCCTCTCCCCTGCAGCCGAATTTCAACACTAACTTCGAAGACAGAAATGCATTTGTCACCGGAATTGCAAGATACATTGAACAAGCCACCGTGCATTCTGGCATGGTAACCCCCGCCCCCCCCCCCCCCCCCCCCCCCGTCTTTCTTTCCACCTGGGGCCCTGGCACGTCTCGGGGCAGGGTCCCCTTTTCTGTATCAGCGGAAAGGGTGCCTGCTGAGGGAGGGCAAAGAGTGAATGAGATGCCTTCTTTTTGTTTTTAAAAGCCTTTGTTTTTCTTACGATAAAACAATACCTGCTCTTTTTGAGAATGTATCAGAGAGAATTGTGGGGAATCCCGTTTTCTCTCCCTCTCGTGTCCCTGCTTGCATGCACACCCTCGCGATGCAGATTGTGTAAATGAAGTGCACTATTATAATTAGGTATTTTTATGAATTCACATTTTGTAAACGTCCATAATGTAACTTTTTTTTTATCCTCACATATGACATATTCATTGGTTTTTAGAGAAAGAGAGAGAGAGAGAGAGAGAGGGAGTGAGTAAGAGAGTACCATTGATGGCCTGCCTCTCTTCAGCTCCCTGGCCGGGGATCCGACCTGCACAACCTGGGTATGTACCCTGACTGGGAGTTGAACCCGTGACCTTTGGGTGTAGGGAGGAGCGTTGCGGACGTCATGGCCACACCACTTCGTCAGTGCCACCAGCCTCCGAACAGCTGCCTCCTACCAAGCAGGACGCTCCTGGTGGTGTGTGAAAGGCAGTCAGGGTGGGTGACTCCTGTCGCTGTAGGCGCTGTGGCGTCTCCTGTGCCTGGGTCGCTCACCTTTGCCCTGCGCCCCCTTGCAGAACGAGATGCTGGAGGAGGGCCAGGGCTACGCCGTCATGCTGTACACCTGGAGGAGCTGCTCCCGGGCCATCCCACAGGTACCCCACCTTCCCAACACACCCAGCCCCCCAACAAGGCCATGCCCCTTGTCTGTTCCACCCAGCTCAGCCAGGGGGCGCCCCCGCCTGCACAGCCCAGCCCCACCGGAATTCTACCCGCGAGAAGGCAGGGACACTTCCCTCCCTCGTGTCCAGCTGGTTGAAGCCTTACTTCGGTCATGCCTGTCTGTTCCCAGGTGAAATGTAACGAGCAGCCTAACCGAGTGGAAATTTACGAGAAGACGGTGGAAGTCCTCGAGCCGGAGGTCACAAAACTGATGAATTTTATGTACTTCCAGGTAAGGCAGCCGAATGCCCTAGGGTTTGGCCCAGGCGCCTCAGAGATGAAGGGAACTGAGCCGTGGGCAGGGGAGAGGCTGGCCTGCTGTTTTAGGAGAAACACTTCTCTTCCCGAGAGCCAGTTAGTGCTTACAAGTGAACACGGCGTTATTTGTTTTTTGTTCTGAAAGGGATGCAGAATTCTGTGTTTTATTTACTTATTAATTTCTAAAATATATGTTTATGGATTTCAGAGGGGAAGAGAGAGAGAGAGAGAGGGAGAGAGAGAGAAAACAACGATGAGAGAGAATCACTGACCGGCTGCCTCCTGCACACCCCACACTGGTGCTCCAGCGTGCAACCTGGGCATTTGCTCCGACTGGGAATCAAATCTGGGACCCTTCCGTCCACAGGCCCACATTCTTTTTTAAAAAAAATATATTTTATTGATTTTGTACAGAGAGGAAGGGAGAGAGAGAATTAGAAACATCAATGAGAGTCATCGATCAGCTGCCTCTTGCACACCCCCTACTGGGGATATGCCCGCAACCAAGGTACATGCCTTGACCAGAATCGAACCCGAATCCCTTCAGTCCCCAAGCCGACACTATCCATTGAGCCAAACCAGTTTTGGCCACAGGACCACGTTCTATCCACTGAGCCACACCCCTCCTGGAGCATAAAGATTGTTGTCTCAGTTACAAGTGCTTTTGTCTTTCTGCCAGTTTAAACTTTATAGTCATCTGGTTTTTCATGCGTTTTCTTCCTCAAACGCACCCTGATCCCTCGCTCAGATGGTCCTCGCCTGGCCTTGGCTCCTTCTGGCTCCTTGGTTTGGCCGAGCGGTCGCAGGGAGAGGACTTTATTTTATTTTTTTAAATTTTTTTGTGAATCCTCCCCCGAGGATATTTTCCCCATTTATCTTTAGAGAGGATGGAAAGGAGGGGATGGGAAGAAAGAGAGAGAAACATGGCTGTGACAGAGACACGCCGATGGGTGGCCTCCCACGGGGGTCCCAGCCAGGTCTGGGTTTGAACCTGTAATCCGGGTGCATGTCCTCGAGCAGGAATGGGCCCCGGCCCTTTAGGATGCAGGCCACCGTGCGGGGCCGGCCGGCGGGTGCTTAGGACTGGGTCTGACACTGCGGTGACGCTGACGGGAGCTGCCCCGGCTGGCCGTGACCTCCGCCCCCCCCCCTCCCCCCGTGCCAGAGGAACGCCATCGAGCGCTTCTGCGGGGAGGTGCGGCGCCTGTGCCACGCAGAGCGCAGGAAGGACTTTGTGTCGGAGGCCTACCTGGTCACACTGGGCAAGTTCATCAACATGTTCGCCGTGCTGGACGAGCTCAAGAACATGAAGTGCAGTGTGAAGAACGACCACTCGGCCTACAAGCGGTGAGCGTGCTGGTGCCGAGCCCCTGAGAGCGAGCGCAGGGAGTATCTGGCGAGCTGTGCGTCCTGCACGCAGTGGGTGTGCGTCCTGCACGCAGTGGGTGTGCACACAGTGGGTGTGCATCAGGGGTGCCGGAGTGACTGCCACTGCCTGGCGGTGGTGACTGGCCAGGCCCAGGACTGTGTTTGTGAATCCTCGATTGTTTTTTTTTTTTTTTTTTAAATATATTTTATTGATTTTTTACAGAGAGGAAGAGAGGGATAGAGAGTCAGAAACATCAATGAGAGAGAGTCATCCATCAGCTGCCTCTTACACACCTCCTACTGGGGATGTGCCCACCACCCAGGCACATGCCCTTCACCGGAATTGAACCCGGGATCTTTCAGTCCACAGGCTGATGCTCTATCCACTGAACCAAACGTGTTTCGGCATCGAATGAGTGTATTTTTCTTTTCTTTTCTTTTCTTTTTTAAAATATATTTTATTGATTTTGTACAGAGAGGAAGGGAGAGAGATAGAGAGTTAGAAACACTGATGAGAGAGAGTCATCGATCAGTTGCCTCTTGCACACCCCCTACTGGGGATATGCCCGCAACCAAGGTATATGCCCTTGACTGGAATCGAACCTGGGACCTTTCAGGCTCCAAGCCGATGCTCTATCCATTGAGCCAAACCTGTCCCGGCTGACTGAGTGTATTTTTCCATTGATTTTTAGATAGTGAAAGGAGGGAGGAGAGAGAAACACTGATGTGAGAGAGACGCATCAATTGATTGTCTCCTGCATGCTCCCTGACTGAGGTCAGGCCAGGGGTTTTGCCTGGAACTGAGGACTGTATATGCCCTTGACTCAAATGTGTGCCGAGTGCTGAGCATCCTTGGAAGACAGAAGCACCAAGACCATCTCCTGCTCACAGAGCCTCAGGGCCACTGCAGGGCGTTTGGTGAGGAGGGTGGGGTCTGCAGCCTGAGGGTGCATCCCAGCCTGGGTGGAGCTGGCCCTGTGGGTTTCCCCAGACCCGCTCTCCTCCAGGCCGGCTTTTTTTGTGAACGCGGAGAAGATAATTGGGAAAGGCGAGCCGGCACGGCGTGGCGTGTGCTTCTGGAACACAGTGTGGGTGGCTGGTGGCAGGGAGCGGGAGGTGGGCGGTCAGTGCAGAGCCAGCTGTTTCTGAGCAGACTTTCTCTAGCGTCTGTCCCCAGTCCTGCTGACGTCATGGCTGCTTAGAACAAGATGACAAGATGCTGGCCGATGTTCCCTCCTTCGTGCCACACCGGAACCTGAGCTATAAAATTCAACTGGAGGAGTTTTTTCTTTGCATCTGAACAGGCTGTGGTTACGTTGCCTCTGAAACCATGCCACTGCTGCTGTGTCTTTACAATGAAATGGACATTGGTGGGGGGGCATAATCTATTGGCTTCCTCCTCATGCCCCCCACTGGGGATCTACTCAACAACCCAGGCGTGTGCCCTGACGGAGAATCCAACCGTGACCTCCTGGCTCACGGGTCCACCCTCAACCACTGAGCTGCCCCAGCTGGGCTCTTCTTTTTTGGACCATGAAGCATGTTAGCTGACCGACTGTTTTCTTTTCTCCTGCTTCCCCAGGGCTGCTCAGTTTCTGCGGAAGATGGCAGACCCGCAGTCGATCCAGGAGTCACAGAACCTGTCCATGTTCCTGGCCAACCACAACAAGATCACACAGGTGAGGCTGGCGCTCTCCTGCTCTGGCTGATGGGGTGCGTGCCCGGGGTTCCGGGGGCCCGAGAGCCTGGAGCAGCTGGTGGCTTAGGGCTCTCCCCTCTTCCAGTCTCTGCAGCAGCAGCTTGAGGTCATTGCTGGCTACGAAGAGCTCCTGGCAGACATCGTGAACCTGTGCGTGGATTACTACGAGAACAGGATGTACCTGACGCCCAGCGAGAAACACATGCTCCTCAAAGTATGCAGTGGGGATAGCTGTCCAGGCCTCGTGTGGGAGGGACACAGGAGGGAGGGACAGCCAGGGTCTGGCCAACAGGCTGTGCTTTGCCTGAGATCCTTTTGTCAACCTTTCTTATATATATATACATATGTATACTAGGGGTCTGTTACCGGAAGATTCCTGCAAAAAACAGGGCTTCTCACCGCCACCCCCCCTCCGTTTTGCCTGCTGCCTCTGCTCCCCCCCACGCCTTTCTTCCCGCCTGTCCCACCACACCCTCCGTGCTTTCCCTCCCGCAGCTGCCTTGCTTTCCACTTTTCCTCCCTCTTCCTCTATGCTGTCTTCAGTCTCCACTCTTCCCTCCCTCCCTCGGCCTTTGCAAATTACCGGCCTTCTTTGTTGGGTTGATTTGCATACTCGCTCTGATTGGCTGTGGGCGTAGCGAAGGTACAATCAATTAGCATTTTCCTCTTTTATTTGTGTAGATTTCTGTTGATTTCTGAGAGGAAGGTTGAGGGAGAGTGAAACATCAATGATGAGAGAGAATCATTGACCAACTGCCTCCTGCACATGACCTACTGGGGATCAAACCTGCAACCTGGGCATGTGCCTTGACCAGGAACGGAACCATGGCCTCCTGGTTCCTAGTCAACACTCAGCCACTGGGCCAGGGCTGAAACGTCTTTTCTGGAGAAAGAGTGAATCAGATTGAGAATGATTGGATCAGATCACATTGAGAAGTCTTGGATCAGATGGAGAATGATTGGATCAGGTTGAAAAGGATTGGATCAGATTGAGAAGAATTGGATCGTCATGTCTGGAGGTGCTTGTGGGTCATTCAGCTTGTGGGTCTGAGCTTCCTGCCATTTGTGCTTCCTCAGGTCATGGGATTTGGTCTGTACTTGATGGATGGGAGTGTCAGCAACATCTATAAACTAGACGCCAAGAAAAGAATAAACTTGTCCAAGATCGACAAGTTTTTCAAGGTGAGTGAGTGACATTTCTATGGTTACGTAACCATGAGGGGCCCTGGGACTTGGTGGCTGCTCCCGCTCCTCCCCGCACAGGCTGTGTCGGGCTCGGTCCCGAATGAAGGCGACCACACCTTCGTCCCTTGTCTGGCTGGTCCCTTGGTGAGACCTGTCCCTGTGGGCGCCCACTGCTGCTGTCCTTAGGCTCCATCGTGGGGCCACAGGCCACCGGATGGCCACGGCACCGCCTGTCGATCCATCCTGTTGTGGTGGCATGCGGTGGTTTCTGGGTTCTCGCTGGTATGCCCGGGGCTGCTCAGATGCAGGGCATGTCTGCTCACCTCTGTTGGACGCTAGCCCACGGGTGGGACTGGGGCCTCAAGCATAAAGGTTTTCAGTTTGTGGACACGGCCTCACTGTTCCCCACGGGCTGCCCTGCTGGCAGAGTGAGTGTCCCCTGTTCTATCTCCTCGCCAGCACCTTCAGGAGGGGCGTCCTAACGGGCGGGTGAGCCACTGCCCTTGTCGGCCCCAATGCCTCGGCCCTCGGTATGTTTTAGGAAGTGTCACTTGGCTTTTCTGGGCTTTTCCTGATCTGTTTCTGCACGTGATTGGATGCGTGTGCTCTGAAAGCAGCCTTTCCCCCATGGCTCCTCTCACTGCCTCAGAGGGTCCTTCGATGAATGGAGTTTCCACCTCTACTGTCTGCTTCAGGAAAGGTTGCCACACAGCGGGCTCGTGGGGTTTTCTTGTGTTAGCTTGTGGACACAACCCTCTCCTTTTCCATCTGGACCTATAGTTTTCCTTGGAACTGGTCTCTGAAAGGCCAGAGGGAGCGGTTGGCATTTTTTCTGTCTCTGTCTCATTGTGATTAGTTTTGTTTTTTAATATATTTTATTGGTTTGTTTACAGAAGAAGGGAGAGGGAGAGAGTGTCAGAAACACCGATGAGAGAGAAACATCAATCACCTGCCTCCTGGATCCCCCCTCTCCCCCAGGGGATGTGCCCACAACCAAGGTACATGCCCTTGACCATAATCATACTTGGGACCCTTGACTCCGCAGGCCAACGCTCTATCCACTGAGCCAAACCGGTTAGAGCTTTTTTTTTTTTTAAATAATATTTTTGTTGATTTCAGAGAGGAAGGGAGAAGGGAGTGATAGAAACATCAATGATGAGAAAGAATCATGGATCGTCTGCCTCCTGCAGGCCCCCTACTTGGAATTGAGCATGCAACCCAGTGCCCTTGACTGGAATTGAACCTGGTCCCTTTTAGTCTATAGGCCAATGCTCTGTCCACTAAGCCAAACCAACTAGGACTCATTGTGATTCTTTTAATATCTTTATTGATTTTAGAGAGAAAAGAAGGGAGAGGGAGAAAGAGATGGAAACATCAATGATGAGAGAGAATCATCGATTGGCTACCTCATGACCACCCTCTACTTGGGATCGAGCCTGCAACCCAGGCGTGTGCCCTGCTGGGAATTGAACCTGTGACCCTTTTGTGCATGGAACCACGCTCAACCAACTGAGCCACACCAACCAGGGCTAGGGGTTGACAGGCTTGGATTTTTTTCTCCACATGGAGATCTAGCTGGCCTGCCCTTTTGTTGCATAAACGATCTTTCCCCACGTTGTTCTGTGTCGGTGGGTCATAAACCAGGTGTCTGTCTGTCTGTGGCTCTGTCTTAGGTCCTCTGTCCGGCCCCACTGGCCTCCATCCCTGCTCCAAGGCCACACTGTCCTAGTGGCTGTGGCTTCCCAGTAGCGTAGTCCACTCACCAGGAAGTCTCCCGTTATGTTCTTCGAGATTGTCGTGCGTATCATCCCCTCACCTCTCCCAGTGCATTCGAACTGGCTTGTGATTGCTCACCACTCGGGACCCACCTTCCTCTCGGGATATCGTTGGGGCTCCCATTGCATGTACGACTCATTTAGGGAGAATGGACTTGGTTAAAACCCACGTCTTCCCATCGTGAACCTGACATATGTCTCCATTCACTGAAAACTGTACACGTTCTCCGGAATTTTTGGTAGTATTTTTGCTTAAAAGTATTGTCTATATTTTGTTTAATGTATTAATACATTTAAATTTTTTTTGAATGCTTTTGGAAATTCCTTAAATTTTCATTTTCGAGTTGTTGCTAGTATGTAGGAATGCAAGTGATTTTTTTAGGGTTATGGTTCAAGCCAGAGTCAGGTTAATTTCCACATTGAAAATTCATACATGATTTTATGAATGTTGGCACTTGTGTTTTGTTCCTGAAGTGAATGTAGAAGTTGTTCACCTCGTTTTTGCACTAAATGATTTGCAGAGAATGCTTTTAACCATCAATGATTAACGGCATTATTCATTCACCTAATGATGCATTTGGTCAATAAACATCCACGATGACCGTATTTTTTTCTCTTTGAATACAGCAGCTGCAGGTGGTCCCACTGTTTGGGGACATGCAGATAGAACTCGCAAGATACATCAAGACCAGCGCCCACTACGAGGAGAACAAATCTCGGTACAAGCATGAGCTGCCCAGTTATAGTGTTTTGAGATGTTCCTATTGTCGCTTTTTTTGTGTGTGTTTTTTTTAAGAGAGAGGGAGAGAAAGAAACATGGCCGTAAGAAAGGAACATCTGTCAGCTGCCTCCCCTACATACACCAACTGGGGATTAAAACCACAACTTAGGATTTATTTTCCATTGCAAGGGGGGATGGAAGGAGAGGGAAGGAGGGAGGGAGAGGGGGAGGGGGAGGGGGAGGGGGAGGGAGAGGGAGAGGGAGAGGGAGAGAGAGAGAGAGAGAGAGAGAGAAAGAAAGAGACCTATGTGAGGTAGACACATCAATTCGTTACCTCTCAAATGCTCCCCAAACGGGCCTGGGATTTAACCTGCAGCCTCGATATGTGCCCATGACCAGGAATCAAACCCACAACCGTTTGGTGTGCAGGTCGGTGTGTTGATGCACACTGGCCAGGCCTCATGTTTTCTTCCGTCCCAGGAGACATTCGGCATGGCTTTGTGTTGTTCCCCATGTGCAGTGAGGGGTTAGACCATCATTTCTTTCACAAAGGGGGCCCCCCGACCTGCCCAGCACCCAGCTGCCACCACACACAGCTGTCCCTGAGACTGACTGCAGGCCCTGGGCTGCACGTGTTGTGAAGCAGTTTGGTGACGAAGGAGAAATCATGACGACGATCTAGAAGCAGGCGGGCGGGGAGCAGGCGGGGAGCAGACAGGGAGCGGTGGCCGCCCGCCCGCCCGGTGACCGTTCCCCCTTCACCCCCCTGCCAGGTGGACGTGCACGTCCTCCAGCAGCAGCCCCCAGTACAACATCTGCGAGCAGATGATCCAGATCCGCGAGGACCACATGCGCTTCATCTCCGAGCTGGCGCGCTACAGCAACAGCGAGGTGGGCGGGCCGCGGGGGGCGTGCTGTGAATGCAGGGGAACGGGCCCTGGTGTTCCCACACGAGGTGGAGACGGCATCCAAGAGGGGCTGTGGGGTGCAGGGATTAGCAGGTACCCCCTCTACATCAGGGAAGATCACCCCCTGCTGGGGACTTAGGGGGTTAGGAACAGGAATCGAACCCGGGACCCTTCAGTGCTCATGCCAGGGCTGTCACCACTGAGCAGCACCGGCAGGGCCCAGATGGATCGGGTGCCCTCTTGTGTCACACGTCCAGGCCAGTGCCCTGGGGGTGGGTCCCGAGAGCGGGTCTGATGCACAGGGAGACTCGGGGCCAGATTTCCGTGTTTGCGACGACCCTTCGAGGCTCCTGCGCTGCCCCTCCAGGTTGTCACGGGCTCCGGCCGCCAGGAGGCCCAGAAGACGGACGCCGAGTACCGGAAGCTCTTCGACCTGGCGCTGCAGGGCCTTCAGCTGCTGTCCCAGTGGAGCGCGCACGTGATGGAGGTGGTAGGTGCCCTCGCTTGCAAGGAGGCAGGAACACGGGGAACCTGGACAGCCTCCTCCCTTACCCACCCAGACTCAGTAAGAAAGGGACTAAACGCCCTGACCAGTGCGGCTCAGTGGGTAGAGCATCGGCCCGTGGACTAGGGGGTCTGTCTGCCTGTCCTTCCCTCTGTCTGCCTCCTACACGACTGGTAGTGGAGCGCCTGCATCTGTCTGTCCACGTCTCTCTGACTAGTATTCGTGGAAACTGGTGCACCCGACAGACAAGTACTCCAACAAGGACTGCCCCGACAACGCTGAGGAGTACGAGCGTGCCACGCGCTACAACTACACCAGCGAGGAGAAGTTCGCGCTGGTGGAGGTGCGTCCGTCTGTCCGTCTGCCGACTGCCTCCGTCACCGCTGGGCCCCCTTGCTCCCTTTCCCAGGGAGAGGGAATCGGGGGTACACGGCCGGCGTTGTCCTTACCTCTCTGCCAGGGCAGAGTTTGTCCGGGGCAGAATTTGCTTTTTTTTAAATAGTAATTTCTCATCCATTAAAAAAGGCGACACATGGGTGACACACACCCGGGAGGAGGAGGTGGGGGCGGAGGCCGTGTGCCCCTCCGTCACGCGCCCCTGCCCCGCAGGTGATCGCCATGATCAAGGGCCTGCAGGTGCTGATGGGCAGGATGGAGAGCGTGTTCAACCATGCGATCCGGCACACGGTGTACGCCGCCCTGCAGGACTTCTCGCAGGTCACGCTGCGGGAGCCGCTGCGCCAGGCCATCAAGAAGAAGAAGAACGTCATCCAGAGGTCAGCCCGCATGCCGGGGCGGAGGGCCGGGGCGGGGTTACGTGGCTGTGATTTCAGTCAGTCACTTCTGTCATGTGCACACTAGCGTCCTGGCGCACAAAGTCAATGCAGGGGCAGCCCCGGCACCTGCCTTGGCCTGGCGCTGCCATGTCTGCCGCCACACCACCCAGTTCCATGGTGCCACTACTCACCTGATCCCCCATCCCGCCACAACCAATGCCCACTTGTTCCCCACGCGCCCCCTGGTGGTCAGCATGCATCATAATGACCGGTTGTTCTGTTGCTGGATCTATTTGCATACTAGGGTTTTATATATATACTAAAGGCCTGGTGCACAAAATTCGTGCACCGGAGGTCTGTCCCTCAGCCCATCTGCACCTTCTCCAATCTGGAACATTCCTCTCACAATCGAGGACTGATGGCTCCCAACCACTCCCTGCACGATTGCCCCTAACCACTTTGCCTGCCAGCCTGATCACCCCCAACTGCCCTCCCAAGGTAGGGTCATGGATGCAGGTGAATGGGATTCCTGGCTGGCATGCCACTGACTTCAATCTAACCAGCAGCCAATTCCACAAGGAATGGAGCGGCCTCCTCCCTCCTGTCAGGGTCTGTTTGAGGGATGGCCATGTCCCAATCACTGAGACCCAGAGTGCCGCTTTCCCCCACCGGCCAGGGCCCACAGCTCCCTCCCCGGCTCCTTCGCCTGCTTTTCTGTCGTCCATCCAGTCGTTTAAGGCATGACATCCCCTGGCTTTTTATATGTCAGATGTGTGTGTGTGTGTGTGTGTGTGTGTGTGTGTGTGTGTGTATATTATTGGTTTTAGAGAGAGAAGAAGTGGGAGAGAGAGAAACATCCATCGGCTGCCTCCTGCCTGCTCCATTCTGGGGATGTAGCCCACAACCTGGGCACACACCCTGACTGGGAATGGAACCCTGACCTCAGGGTTCATGGGTCGACGCTCATACCCAGAGCCGCTGCAGCCTGGGGCAGGCTGTTTTTATCTCCCGTGGAGCTGGGTGGGCGTCGGGAGGTGCTGAGTGTCGGTCCGCGTCAGCGCTCACGCCCGTGCTCAGTGTGCTGCAGGCCATCAGGAAGACCGTGTGCGACTGGGAGACCGGCCACGAGCCCTTCAACGACCCGGCCCTGCGGGGCGAGAAGGACCCCAAGAGCGGCTTCGACATCAAAGTGCCGCGGCGCGCCGTGGGACCCTCCAGTACGCAGGTTCTCGCCCCGTCCCCGCCTCTGCCTGCCCCCGGGAGGGGGGGTGGGCGCAGCCGGGAGTGAGACAGGTCCCCTCTGCTCGGGCACATCCCGTCTTCCTGGGTCTCCGGCCCCTCTGTCCGCGGCCTGCATGGGCCCACCTGCATGTGGATCTCAGTCTGACGGCCCGATGCCCGCGTCCAAGGTGTGGGTGCCCGCCTGTGTCCGTGTGCCCTTCTCTCTCGTGGTGGCTGTTCCGGGGCCTGGGTGCAGCGTTCCTGTGGTGCTGCAGGCTGTCATTCCCGAGGAGGCGGCTCGGAGAGACTAAAAAACGCAGCTTTCGTGTGTTTGAGTCAGCACCGCTGTTGTCTCTCTCATACGCTCCTGCTGCCCCCAAGCAGCTTTCTTCTGACTCACACCTGCCCCTCCGCCCTCGGCTTTCTCCTCCCAGGTGCCCGGCCCTGCCTGTTGGTCCCTGGAGCCCCCCAGCAAAGCACGCTGCTGGCTGCGCACGGGACCCTCGTGTCCGGGAGGAGCCCCGTCCGCGGAGTAACCCTGCGTCCCGTGTGTGCGTGTCCTGTGACTAACGCTCTCTCCGCCTCTCCGTGTCTGTCCGTGTCTAGCTGTACCTGGTGCGCACCATGGCAGAGTCCTTGAGCTCCGCCGAGCTGCTGCGGCAGCTCAAGTCTCTGGGCATGGAGAGGCTGGTGCATGTGGTTAACGCGTTTCTGAGACAGTCCTACACCTACCCGCCTCTCTTAACCTTCGGGGGTAAGACACCGCTCCTCTCCCTCGCCGACGTTCGCACGGAGGCGAGGGCCTCCTCCGAGTCCTTCCTCCCACAGCAGCCACGGCCACGCAGGCGGCGCCCAGACCCCTTAGTGCAGCCGGGGAGCCGGCCCAGGTCAGGGCCCGGAGCAGCCCTCCCGGGGCCGAGAGCGCCGGGTGCGACTAACGCTCCTGTGTGTTTTCTCCCGCCGCCGTGCCCCGGACCCCGCAGCTTTACATGGTGAGAACCATGCTAGAGTCCCTCATTGCGGACAAAAGTGGCTCCAAGAAAACCCTGAGGAGTAGCCTTGAGGGGCCCACCATTCTGGACATAGAGAAATTCCACCGCGAGTCCTTCTTCTACACTCACTTGATAAACTTCAGCGGTAAGAGACACTGCTGAGCGCCCGGCCCAGCATGCTCTAACACCGCTAACACCGTCCGGAGCGCTTCCTCGCCTGCTGACCGTCCCCTGCGGCCCCTCCCGCACCCGCACCGTGGTGACTGCGTGACCCGTGCAGCCCCACCCGTCGTGTACACGTACGGCCGGCCGTGCGCGCCCCCCCGCAAGGGCCTGACCACTGGGTGACCAGGTCTCCGGCTCTGGCCGCTGCCCGGGCTAGCAGGTCCCGGGACCAGGACGCGGGGTGGTTGCCCTTATTATCCCGTCACAGCCGTGTGCCCCGAACCAGAGGCCCTGTCTGAGCTGGGAGCTGCAGGTTCACCGTGAAGGGCGAGATTTCTGCTTCTCGCTCCCTCACAAGGCAGGAGCGTGCACAGCAGTCCCGTGTGTCTGATAGACGGGCATGGAGTGGGCACCAGATGCTGCGTCTGTCCCCAGCAACATAGGGACATCCGGTCTCACTTCTCCTTTTCGTGAGCACATTTCCTCCCGCCCGGAGGCTCGGTCTACAGGGCCCACAAGGGGCACCCAGATGCTGCCTCTGTGCTTCCCAGGGGGCTTGCCCGTCCCCAGTGTTAGGTGCCCCGGCACCCCGTTCCTCACCACCCCGCATGGCTCGGGCTGATGGCAAAGGGACTGGCCTGGTGCACAGCCCTCGCCCCGTCGCCTGTCTGTTTTCTGTCTGTGCTGTTTGCGGAGGGAGACTGACCCCCTGCTGTGCGCTCCCCCCAGAGACCCTGCAGCAGTGCTGCGACCTCTCGCAGCTGTGGTTCCGAGAGTTCTTCCTGGAGCTCACCATGGGCCGGCGCATCCAGTTCCCCATCGAGATGTCCATGCCCTGGATCCTGACCGACCACATCCTGGAGACCAAGGAGGCGTCCATGATGGAGTGCGTGTCTGGGCCCCGCTGGCTCCTTGTTGGCATTGGGGAGGGGAGGGACCACGGGCTCCATAACCTCTGGTCTGCTGCCTGATCACCCCTAACCCCTCGGCCGAGGCAGGGTGGGGCTGCTCATTGCTTAATCTGATGCCGTGATTCGAGGGTAGAGACTAGAGAGTCGTACAAGGGACAGGTTGCTTGCCTTTTTTTTGTGTGTAATGTTTTTATTGATGTCAGAGAAGTTGGGAGAGGGAATGACAGAGAGAAACATCCATGATGAGAATCATCCATCAGCTGCCTCCTGCACGGCCCCCACTGGGGATCCAGCATGCAACCTGGTCCTGTGTCCGAACTGGGAATCGAACTGTGACTTCCTGGTTCATGGTTCTGCACTCAGCCACTGGGTCATGCCGGCCGGGCAAAAATAGAATATTGCTGAAAATAAAAAAGTCCTCATTGTGGTGCTTATTAAAAAACGTACAGGCCCAGTGCACAAATTCGTGCACAGGTAGGGACCCTGGGCCTGGCTGGCGATCAGGGCTACTGTGGGGCGACCAGTGTGGGGATCGGGCCTCCCGGCACCTTCCTGGCTGGTGGCCTGGCGGTGGCCTTGCGCCTGCTCGCCAGCCCTGCCCCCTCTGCGGGCTGGGGGCAGCTCCTGCGCTGAGTGTCTGCCCCCCCCCGCCCCGTGGTCAGTGCACATCATAGCATCTGGTCATTCCCTCATTTGGTCAATTTGCATACTAGGTTTTTATTATATAGAATAAGATGCCACATCCTTGTGTCAAAAACCTTTGAGATATGATAAGGGAGAAGGTGCAGTTGCTGGAGGCCTGTGCCTCAACGTGGCCTGGGTCTGGTGCCCAGCTCGAGTGGTGGGTCTGCTGGCCGGGCTGTGCCCTCAGCCTCGCAGGAGCCAAGTCTGGCATCTGGCGGGATCGGTTTTCCAGGGGAGAGGAGAGGAGAGCAGAGCAGGGACCGGGAGGCTGCGTGGGCGAGGCTGCTGACCGCTCCCTCTGCAGGTACGTCCTCTACTCCCTGGACCTTTACAACGACAGCGCCCACTACGCCCTCACCAGGTTCAACAAGCAGTTTCTCTACGACGAGATCGAGGCAGAGGTGAGCTGCCCTTGGTCCGAGGGGTGGCGGCAGCAAGCCACCCTCACACGGAGGTTTATACGAGCCAGGGAGCTGTGGGCAGCCCTTCTGTCTGCATGACTCGGTGCAGCGCGCCTGACCAGGAGCAGGAGGGGGACCAGCCAGTCCTCCCGGCCACTCGCCCACCCATGGGCGCGGCTCTGACGAAGGAGAACTTTAGAAAGACCGCTACAAGCACAGTGCTGGTAGCCTCTTCCTCAAAGAGCCTTTGCTGGTTGTGTCACTCGCATCCCTGGCCTCACTGGCCTTGCTTATTTTAAAGCTGGAAATGCAAACCTTCTGGCGACCTTCGCCCTGTGCCTCGGGCAGCACCCCCACTCTCTTTTCTGCATTTGAGTTCGTGGTTTTGTTAAGATTATACCTGTGAATGAGACCGAACAGTCTTTGTCTCTTTCTAGTTTGTTGCATTTAGCGTCATGCCCTCGGCATCCATCCATGCTGCACAACACACATGCTTTTTTATTTTTGTGGCCGAATAATATTCCATGATATACACAGGGTGTGGCACAAGTAGGCTTACTGTTGCCATCTGGAAAATAATAAAACAATGAACAAAGAATAGTAATCAGAGCATGAACTCTGCACAGACAACCTAGGACGGTGGCAGAGAGAAAGGGGTGGGAGCAGGCGGAAGAGGGGAAAGGGGGTAAATGGGGGTGGAGGAGACAACACCATAGACAGACGATGCATTATAGACTAACCGTCTGAAACCTCTACTTTTACTCAAAGCGTCACTCCAGTAAACTCAACCAAACAACACGTTCTGTGTTTCGTGTGTTCACCACTGTAAGCCTTACTCTCGGCCCGCCCTGGAGAGACCCGTGTTCCTTGGAGTGTGTTCCCTGATCGCAGATAGGGAATCGTAACGCCGTGCCTGCTTTCTTCCTCCTCAGGTGAATCTGTGCTTCGACCAGTTTGTGTACAAGTTGGCCGACCAGATCTTTGCATATTACAAGGTCATGGCCGGAAGGTACGTGGTTTGGGGTTGGAGCCTCGAGCAGCTGGATGTGACGTTCGCCTTAAAGCTCATCCTCCCTCCCTCCTTCCCTCCCTCCCTCCCGTCCCAGCTTGCTTCTGGACAAACGGCTGAGGTCCGAATGCAAGAACCAGGGGGCCACGATCCACCTCCCGCCCTCCAACCGCTACGAGACGCTGCTCAAGCAGAGGCACGTGCAGGTGAGGCCGCGGGCGGGAGCCTGCCCCACGCTGGAAGCGGGAGGTTTCCTGGTGTCTGCGGCGTTTTCATAGGAGTCCGGGTGGCGAGTGACTGTGGGCACTGCCTCACGAGGTGCGAGAGCTCAAAGGCCTTGCCAGGGCTCCTTGTTTTTAAAAAATTACCTTTTTAATGATTTTTAGAGACAGAGAAATGGAGAAGGGGGGAAAGAGAGGAGCATTGAGGTTGGAGTGAAAATGTTGAAATGTGCATTATGCCTTCTTACTAGAGGCCCATTGCATGAAAATTCGTGGACTTGGGAGCCCGGGGGGGTCCCTCAGCCAGGCCTGCACCCTCTCACAACTCGGGACCCTTTGGGCAGGGTCCCTAGGCCTGGCCTGAGATCAGGGCCTATCGGGGTTTCCTTCCCTGGGCTGCAGGGTCTGGCCTCTCCCCTGCCAGTGGGGGCCCCCTCTGCAGGCTGCAGGCTGGGGTGCAATGGCTTGGCTGGCCTGCACCACCCTCTTTCTTTGCTGGTGGGTAGGGCCAGCCCTGTGAGGCTTGGCTGGCCTGCACCACCCTCTTTCTTTGCTGGTGGGTAGGGCCAGCCCTGATTGCCCCTAACTGCTGGTCTGCCTGCCTGATCACCCCTAACTGCCCTAATCACTCTGTCTTTCTACCTGATTGCCCCTTACTGCTTGCTTGGGAGCAGGGCCAGCCCGGTGAGGGACCGTCTGCCTATCTGATTTTCCCTAACCTCTGGTCTGCCTGCCTGATCACCCTTAACCCCTCTGCCTGCCTCGTTGCCCCTTACTGCTTGATTGGGCATGGAACCAGCACTGACGTCCACTTGTTCAACCTCCAGTTGTTACTGGTCGTTACAACCCAGGGTTTTTATATATTAGGATAAGTTTCTGGAGGGGACGCGTGCATATATTCTGGTTTGTTCTAGCGTTCACTCTCTCCACCCTCTCGCCCCCAGCTCCTGGGCAGGTCCATTGACCTCAATCGCCTGATCACCCAGCGCGTCTCGGTGGCCATGTACAAGTCCCTGGAACTGGCTATCGGACGCTTTGAAAGCGAAGACCTGACCTCAATCGTTGTAAGTGCCCTTCCTTCTCTCAGGCTCGGCCGAGGGTCGGATTCGGGTCATGAGGATTCTAGCTGATTTTATTTTCGTCTTTATCAATACATTGAACCAATGATACGCTCAGTGTTTTGCACAGAGATGAAAACATGGGCACTCATTAAGTTTGGCCGCCTTTTAGCAGATAATTTTTTTAGAGAGAATTTTCTATAGGGCAACGGAGGTCCAATACACACATCATAGAGTCCCTGATGAAGGAAAACCAAAGCAACAGCATGGAACCAACATGTGAAATTTTTTAAATACGCTTTTATTCATTTTAGAGAGAGAAAGAGAAACATAGATGTCAGAGAGAAACATAGATGTCAAAGAGAAACATAGATGTCAGTCAGCTGCCTCCTGCACCTCCCCACACTGGGAATCGAACCCACCACCCGGCATGTGCCCTGACCGGGAATCAAACCCTGCGTGACCTCCTGGTTCATAGGTCGATGCTCAGTCCCTGAGCCACGCCAGCTGGGCAGGAGAGAGGTTGAGGATCCCACTCCCGGTGCCTGGCAGACCCTGCCTCAGGCATTGGTGGTCCGCCTCGCTGACCACACCTGCTGTGTCCAGCTCCGTCCCGCCACCCCACGGCGCCGCCCCCGTGGGGAGGGGATGCCAGTGTCCGGCCCCACTCCGTCCTTTCTGCGTCCCGTGTGCCGCAGGAGCTGGACGGCCTCTTGGAAATCAACCGCATGACACACCAGCTGCTGAGCAGGTACCTGTCGCTGGACAGCTTCGACGCCATGTTCCGGGAGGCCAACCACAACGTGTCCGCGCCCTACGGCAGGATCACCCTGCACGTCTTCTGGGAGCTCAACTACGACTTCCTGCCCAACTACTGCTACAACGGCTCCACCAACCGGTGAGCGTGCCCAGCGGCCCGGCGCTCGCCCGGGGCTCCGAGCAGGCGGCCCTCGGCCCCGTCCTCTCTGCCCACGGGCCAGCCTCCGGCTCCCTGACGCTCTTCGGTCTGAGCTCGGCACGTGTACCGGCCGTCGCGGTGTTTGTATCGCGTGCACGTTCTGGTCGTTTAGAGTTCGTTGTTTTTCTATGATTGTTATTTCAGTTAATGAGAAGGAAGGTGTAGCGGATGTTTACATGGGAAAATGATGAATATTTAAAAATCGTTAACATTGTCTTCTCCCTTGTTCTTATTTAGATTTGTTCGGACAGTATTACCATTTTCTCAAGAATTTCAAAGAGACAAGCAGCCAAACGCACAGCCCCAGTATTTGCATGGGTCCAAGGTATGCTTTTGTGTGTGTGTAATGATTTTTTGTGTGTGTGTTATGATGTTTTAAGTTCACACTTTAGCATATTTTGATGTTTAATTTAAATCAGTTCAGTGACGATGGTTTAACTCTGTCATGACAGGTATGAAATGTTATTGTTTTATCGAAGGGTTGATTTTTTAGAAAAAGAGCGAGGGAGGGAGATAGAGAAACATGGGAATGTGAGGGAAATGTCAGTCCACTCCCCCTGCACACCCCTGAGCCTGCAACCCCGGCAGGGCCCTGGCACGCCCAGGCGTCGAATAGGCTTGAGCCCTGGCTCTGCTGGTTGGGTGCCGTCTCGTGCAGCAGGAGGTCTCTGGTTCAGCTCCAGGCCCGGGGACCTCCAGGGTTGTGTTTCTCTCTCTCTCTTTCTTCCTCTCTCTTAAAAAAAAAAAAAAATCAATAAACTAATCTTTTAAAAAAAATAGCAATAGTAATAACGTGCTCCCCCTCAAGGAGCATGGCCACGCCCTTCCCATCCCCCTTTCCTTCCCCCACAGGCATAGACCCTCTAAACTCCAAGGCACCCCCAAGGCTTGCAGCTGGGGGAGCCGTGGGCTGTGGCGGGTCGTGCTGGACGCCCGACCCTGCCTCTGACGCCCCTTGGCTCTGGCTTCTCGGAGCCACGGCAGCCCGGCCCGGGCTCTGCTTCTGCTTCTTTCTTCCGCGCTGCTCCTTTTTTCCTTGTTCTAAACTCCTTTTTGCTGCCGTCAACAAATTCCTGCTTTTCGACTCAGAAAATTGAGACAGACGCACCCACTGGAAATAGCAGGGGGTTGGCACGTGGCGTCTCTGGTTGGGGGCAGGACCGGCTTCCTCTTCCCGGGGCCGGCGGGAGGGCGTGGGGGACGGGAAGCTGGTGCAGGCAGAGGCTGCTGGTCCTCGCGGACACGAGGGATTTCGAGCAGAAAGTGAGGCTGCTTCCATCCGCCGCCCGGCCCGCCGAGTGCTCGTGGCACCGAGGAGTCCGAGAGAAAGAGGAACTGGGAGCCGAGCTGGTCTTCCGTGTCGTGGCCTCACTTCCTCCTGCCCCGGCGTCGCATACATAACGCTGAAAGCCCAGTTTAGAGAAACCCAGATGGCGGCATCGGTAATCACCTGAGCTGCTGCCTCTCACAATGATTTCAAAACTCCAACTGAAAGACACAACGATGTCTCCCAGAACCACAGGGAGGCTGGCTGAGTGGAAACCCCACACCTAGGAGGAAAGAGAAAGGCCCACTGAGACCCCAGCTTCTAGTTCTGTGCTCGAAGCTTGTGTTCAGGCCGTTGTATTCAGTGGGCGCCCTCCCCCGCCCCGGATGCCGTGTGCAGAGGGCGCCCTGGCACAGCAGTGCCCCTCGCTGCTGCGTCGTTCTCACGCCGCACTCGCCCCGTGTCCGCAGGCGCTGAACCTGGCGTACTCCAGCATCTACGGAAGCTTCCGGAACTTCGTGGGGCCCCCGCACTTCCAGGTCATCTGCCGGCTGCTCGGCTACCAGGGCATCGCGGTCGTCATGGAGGAGCTGCTGAAGGTCGTCAAGAGCCTGGTACGTCCCTCGGCGAAGGGTTCTGCCCCCTTCCAGTGGGGAGGGGGGCATTCCTCCCTCTCCCGAAACACTCAGACCCCAGCTGGCAGGCAGGTGGGGGCGGACACTGCCCAGGTCCCTTCAGATCCCCTAGGTTAAGGGCTCAGTCCCACAAGACTGCCCCCCAGACCCCCACACTCCAACCGCTCGTCCAGGCTGTCGCCTGTGCCTCCAGACCAGCTGCCATCGGCAGAGGCTCCTCCCCCTGCCCCCGCCTTACTCCCCCCACTTACCGGGTTCGGTTGTAGAGCAGCTCACGGACTCAGGCAGCTAGCTTCCCCGGGAGCAGGCTGTCCTGGACGCGTGCTCCGTGCCCTTATCCGAAGGAACATGATAAAATCTTAATCCTGAGCCCGTTGTTTTATAGATTCTCTGTCACCAAATACCCATTTTCACATATTTCCACGTATTATAAACCCACCAAGAGGAAGCCTTACTCTCCGTTTCATGTCCGTGCAGTTAGAGTTGTTAGCGCAGACGCGGATGGAATTACAAGAGGACAGAATCTAAGCTGTGTCTAGGTCAGGACCCAGAAGCCATTAGAATACAGAGCAGCTGGGTCTCTGGCCTCAGCCGTGACCCGTGACAGGCCCTGTCTGGACCCCCGTGTGGCTGCCCTGAAGGCTGTGACCCCTGGGCAGACGTTGGGGTCCCGGGCCCTGGGGGCCGCGCCCCTCGGGGCAGGCCCGGCCCGTGGCGGACGCAGCCCGTGTCTCCGCAGCTGCAGGGCACCATCCTGCAGTACGTGAAGACGCTGATGGAGGTGATGCCCAAGATCTGCCGCCTGCCCCGGCACGAGTACGGCTCCCCCGGTGAGTGATGGGAGAGAGCGGCCCCGGGTGCCGCCCGGTGAGGGGTGTCGGTGTGGGTGCCGGGCCTGGGCGCAGCCAGGGGCTGTTCTGTGGCCCTCCAGCACCCAGCCGGCCCCTCGCCCCCAGGCATCCTGGAGTTCTTCCACCACCAGCTGAAGGACATCGTGGAGTACGCGGAGCTGAAGACCGTGTGCTTCCAGAACCTGCGGGAGGTGGGCAACGCCGTGCTCTTCTGCCTGCTCATCGAGCAGAGCCTGGTGAGCGAGCGCCCCCAGCACGGCCGTCATCGCCCCAGGCCCTCACCCCCACTCCAGCACGGCGCCCCTTGGACGTCGCGGTAGACTCTCATTTCAACGACGTTCCCGCCCTGAAACCCCAACGTGCAGTGGAGTTCGTGTGAGGATGTGTCAGTGCGTGAGCCTGGCAAACAGCAACACAGGCCGCCATACGTGCAGCTGACCCTCTACATGGGTGTGAGCTGGGCGTGTCCGTAGAGAAGCCACATGCTCGTGGGCTGTGTGGCTCACACCTGCACCAATCAGTGCCCCCACCACCACACACACATACACACACACCCCTCACCCCCGCCACCAGCCTCAGACGGCTCTGTCCATCTCCCTCACGCCGCCCTCTGCTCCGCCCTAGTCCCTGGAGGAAGTGTGTGACTTGCTGCACGCAGCCCCCTTCCAGAACATCCTGCCGCGTGTCCACGTGAAAGGTGAGCAGCCGGGACGCCGAGCGGCCACGTGAGAGTGGGACACGGAAGCGTGTCAGGCTCTCTGGGCGTGGTCCCTTCAGAACAGATGGGCTGGGGCGGGGTATGAGCCCAGAGCGACCGGAGCAGGACATGCAGATGGTCCCTCTCCTGGGCTTCGCTTTGGATCACGTTTGTAATTTTCCAGTAAATTATCAAAAGTGAAGGCTGAACAGAAAGCCATTCCTGTGGCTTTGAGTTAAAACAGCAGAAGAGTTGGTTCTGTACTGGAATTGTCAGTGATAGCCTGCCTTTGCTGTGTTCCTTTCTTTTTTTCTTTTCCCTCTCATTTTTTTTTTAAGGTATTTTATGTGTACCTACCTTACCAATCCCCACCACCACTCCACTCCCATTCATGCCCTCCCTCCCCAGAGTTTTTCGTCCATTGGTTATGCTTATATGCATGCATACAAGTCCTTCGGTTGATCTCTTATGTCCCCCAGATCTCCCTTTCCTCTCCGCTGTAATTTGACAGTCTGTTTCTTTACTGTCTCTTTATCGGCCTTTTTTTTTTTTTTTTTTTTTTTTTTTAATATATTTTATTGATTTTTTGTAGAGAGTAAGGGAGAGAGATAGAGTTAGAAACATCAATGAGAGAGAAACATCCATCAGCTGCCTCCTGCACACCACCTACTGGGGATGTGCCCGCAACCAAGGTTCATGCCCTTGACCGGAATCGAACCTGGGATCTTTCAATCCGCAGGTTGACGCTCTATCCACTGAGCAACACCGGTATCGGCTGTATCTGTCTTTTTGTTCATCAGTTTATAATGTTCCTTATTATCCATTGCCATGTTCCTTTCACAACCTTCCCCGGTCTGGTTATGTAAAGTGTAACTGCTGTGACCGCTGTCGCATGAGAGACAGCGTGTGCCCGCCTTTTCCCGCTGCAGAGGGAGAGCGGCTCGACGCCAAGATGAAGCGGCTGGAGTCCAAGTACGCCCCCCTGCACCTCGTCCCCCTGATCGAGAGGCTGGGGACCCCTCAGGTAACCTCCTGGGCGGGCGGGCGCTGCTGTTTGTGGGGGTCCACGTTGGGCCCGGGTGAGGCCGGGCAGGTCCGCTCCGGGGAGCCCGTACCCGGGAGCATCAGGTGGGCGGGTCCCCACGGCCCGGGGTCTCCGGCGGGTCTGTCACGGGCCCCAGCCCCGGGCATTTCGAATCTCAGAGCACTCCTGGCGGGTGAGCTGCCTGCAGAGGTGTCGCCTGCTCTGGGGTCCCTCCCTCGTGAAGAAGGCTTGGTCCCGGGTGTTTAAGAACAGACTGTGGGCTCTCCGACGGGAGGCCAGGCATCCGGCAGAGCTCCCGGTCCTCAGTCTCAGCAAGCTGCCCTTTCGTACCGGACGATGCTCTGCTGGGGGCTTTCCCGTGACTTTTCGGCCGTTATGCCACGTCCCTGGCCTCTGCATCCGCTGCCCCTCGCCTCGCCCCGTGGGGTGGCGGTGAACGTGTGCGCACACGGCACCGTCGCTGTCCTCCACCGTGCTGCCCGTGGAGTCTGGTGAGACAGGGAACCCTGACCTTTGTGTTGTCTGACACTCCTGCGAGTGGAGATGGTTCTCTGGGAAGCCAGGAGGAAGACGTGGCCCGTGGGGTTGGCCCGCGACCTCCTGCGTGGCCCATCGCGCGCTGTCCTTCCTGCAGCAAATCGCCATCGCGAGAGAGGGGGACCTGCTGACCAAGGAGCGGCTCTGCTGTGGCCTGTCCATGTTCGAGGTCATCCTGACGCGGATCCGGACCTTCCTGGACGACCCCATCTGGCGCGGGCCCCTGCCCAGCAATGGCGTCATGCACGTGGACGAGTGTGTGGAGTTCCACCGGCTGTGGAGCGCCATGCAGTTCGTGTACTGCATCCCCGTGGGCACGCACGAGTTCACGGTGGAGTAAGTGTGTGCTCCGGGCACAGGGAGGCGGGTGCTGAGCTGGCTCGGGGCTCGGGCTCTGGGAGTCGACCCTGGAGACTTCGGCATGTGGGTGGGCGTGCACCCCTCCAGCGAGGGCCCCAGCCTCATGATAGACATCCTTCAAGGAGGGTCTGCGACCTAAAAACAGGTCAGGAGGTGTGGTGTCCGAGGAACCTAAAGGGGTCTTCAACAGAAACAGGGACACACCACCCAGTTTTCCCAGCAGGTGGCTGGGTCATGGACGCCTGGAGAAAAGAGATAGGTGCAGGAAAGACTTTCATTGGTTGCCTATTCTGCTCAGGGCTTCTTGTTTTTTAATCCTCACTTAATATATTTCCATTCATTTTAGAGAGACTGGAAGGGAAATAGAGAGAGAGAAATGTCAAAAATGAGAATCATTGATCGGCTGCCTTCTGCAAACCCTTCCGTGGGGATCAAGCCCGCTACCCTGGCATGTGATCTGACCGGAATCGAACCCTGACCTCCTGGTTCATAGGTTGACGCTCCACCACCGAGCCGCGCTGACCGGGCGCTGATGCTTCTTGTTTGCAGGCAGTGCTTTGGCGACGGGCTGCACTGGGCCGGCTGCATGATCATCGTGCTCCTCGGGCAGCAGCGGCGCTTTGCTGTCCTGGACTTCTGCTACCACCTGCTTAAGGTCCAGAAACATGACGGCAAAGACGAGATCATCAAGAATGTGGTACGTGGGCAAAAGCCCCGTGTCCTGCGGTTAAGTGTCACAGGAAGGCATTCTTTCGGTCTGTGACAGCTTCTTCCTCGGGGCAGTTTCCCATCCCAGCACGTAAGATGGCGCCGAGTGAAGCTTCTCTCTCTCTCTCTCTTTTTTTTTTTTTTTTTTAATATATTTTATTGATTTTTTTTTACAGAGGGGAAGGGAGAGAGAGAGAGAGCCAGAAACATCGATGAGAGAGAAACATCCAGCAGCTGCCGCGGGCACACCCCCTACCGGGGATGTGCCCGCCACCAATGTACATGCCCTTGACCGGAATCGAACCTGGGACCTTTCAGTCCTCAGGCCGATGCTCTACCACTGAGCCAAACCGGCTTCGGCTTCCCTTTTCTCTTCAAAATGCATCGTCATGACATTGGAGAGCCGAGCAGTGTGACAGTGAAAAGGCCACGTCGCCCGTTTTTACCCTCTTTAGGGTTCTTGGGTCGTGTCTCCATGTGGAGCCTCGTGGGACCTGCGCTCATGCCCTAGGCCTCCTGCCCGGTCTCCTGGCTTCCTCTGTGGCCGTCAGAGTGTGCTTTTTGGCTGCTCTTTAGATCTTTTTGTCTTTCTCATTCTCTGAAATGTTTGTCATAGAATTCTCCGAAAACACTTGGACATTATCTGTTTATCTACGTGTCTGTCTCTCCCATCTTCTCTGTGGCAGCCTTTGAAGAAGATGGTGGAGAGAATTCGCAAGTTCCAGATCCTGAACGACGAGATCATCACCGTGCTGGACAAGTACCTGAAGTCGGGCGACGGGGAGAGCACGCCCGTGGAGCACGTGCGCTGCTTCCAGCCCCCGATCCACCAGTCCCTGGCCAGCAGCTGAGCACATGCCCGCAGCCTGCCGAGGGAGTCCTGGTCCCCGCTGCGTTTGTAACCGTAGGGCATGTTTTTCTTGTCACAAGCCAGTGAGATTTGTAGGGACTATTTGCCAGTGTCCTTGTACCTGTGAAAGGGCACTTTTCGGCCTGAAAGCCTAAATTTATAAAATTGACTTATTTTTCTAGCCTAAAATTGTCTATGCTTTTGGTAATTAGGAAGTCTGAGACTATTGGCTGCCGATGGCTGCCTTTCCCATTCTTACATTTCTTTCCTGTTTTTCTGGGTAATGTCCAAGTGCCACCGAGTCATCCCTGTCTTCCTCGGCAAGGGGTCAGGGACGTTCAGGGAAATATTCATTAACTTCAGCAAGGAACATGGAGAGCTAACTGTAAAAAAAGTCACTACCAATTAGAATGGAAGGTAATGGTTCTTTAGCTTTTGTTAGGCCTTTTGCTAATGGTCTTTTTTATGAATTAAAAGTCATTCTTTCCTTCCCTATTCGTGTCAATTCTTTAAGAAAACAGTGAACTTGACCTTTTGTTTCTACTAAATCGTTTTTAACAATTTAATTTGCGAGGGATGATTTTTTTTTTTTTTTAAATATATTTTATTGATTTTGTACAGAGAGGAAGGGAGAGAGATAGAGAGTTAGAAACATCGATGAGAGAGAGTCATCGATCAGCTGCCTCTTGCACACCCCCTACTGGGGATATGCCCGCAACCAAGGTACATGCCCTTGACCGGAATCGAACCCAGGACCTTTCAGTCCCCAAGCCGACACTCTATCCATTGAGCCAAACCGGTCCCGGCGCGAGGGATGATTTTTAAAATGTAGAAATGAAAGGAATGAAATCTCCTTGTTTTCCTTCATGTGCTGTGACCACCTGTGTGTTTGGGCTCAGACAAGGCACTTTGTCTGCTTATCTGGGCCCTTGGAGTCTGAGTCTCGGCCACCACGGCCTGGGATAAGGAGCAAGTTATCTGTGTCTGTGGACACACAACACCGTCTCTAGGACCGATACAAGCTGCTGGAAATGCCGGGAAGTGTTTTCTTGATGTGAACTGCCAACCTGGGGACTGACCCACATTCTGATGGAGGCATTGTCTGTCCTCAGCCCATAGTGAAAGGCTAGAATCTCATGAAGAAATGACTGTGATGATGATCTTTCTCTGATTCCTGTATTGTAGCAGCCAAACCAAAGGTAGTAAACATTTATGTAAAACACAATTGCTCTAAGATGTTAATTGAACCTCCTGGTTATAGGTTGATTGATGCTCAACCACTGAGCTACACTGGTAGGGCACAATAGAGAAATTATTGGAACAGAATAGGAGGTGTAATTAGAGACCCAAATTCAAAGATAAAATTTTTAAAAATATATATTATTGATTCTCTAAAGATAAGTGACAGGGATAGAGTTAGAAACATCGATGAGGGAGAAACATCAATCGGCTGCCTCCTGCACACCTGCTGGAGATGTGCCCTCTACTTCCTACACAAACCTCAAAAGGACTCCCGTCAGCCAATTCTTGTGCAAATATGATCCTCTGCTACCATCTTGTGGCCATTCAAGGACTAACACCTTGTGCTTCTGTCCGTGGTGCTGGAATCCCAGCTATTGCCCTGTGAACACGACGAAAACTTCTGCCCAGAAACAAAACAAAAAATCATCGAGGCTGTCCTGGGCGGCAATAATTTTTATTTACTTGTGAATGGACTGAAGCCACGGGCCTGGGTTGTGCACCCCTTCCCGCCCCAGCCCTGAAAAGGGAGTCTTCGCTGCTGCACTGACATCAGGAAGCTAGTATCGATACGTTCACGATGTCTGTCCCTAACCTAGAGGCTGCCGTCAGTACCTTGGGGGCCGCCATTGTTGAGGCAGCTAATCCGTACAGCGAGGTGTTGTAGTGTCGCGAAACTCAGCGTCCTCGCGAGAGACAGCCATTTTGGGGGCATGCCGTAACATAGAAGCCATTATTGAGGTGGTCCGTACAGGGGAAGCCGCCGCTGACGAAAACGGCCAGTACCAAACAGGAGGTCTTCATGAGGCACCCAGTAACCTGTAGGCCGCCAGTTTGGAGGCAGCCGATGCCTTGGAGGCTAGCATTATTGAGGCAGCCAGTACCCTGGGGCCGGCAATTACTGAGGCAACCAGTGGCCTGGAGGCGGCCATTTTTGAGTCTGACTATTCAGTTCCGGGAGTTGCCGGCCGACGGGGCGGGGCTTCTTAACGCGCGCTCACGTGCCCGCCTCCGGGGGGACCCATTGACTTTCCATGATCGCCTTTTCCGGGGGAAGAAAAACTGGTGGCGGGGCCGGAAGCGCTGTGTCCCTCGGGTTCGAGACAATGGCGCCGTTTACGGCACAGCGAGCATCCTGGTACCATCGGAGCCGCTAAGTTCTTCACCCGGGCTCCGGCCCAAACTGGAGAAAACCTACAAAGTTCTGGCGGCCTAGAGAAGGGCGCTGAGGATCGCGAAGCCGACGGCGTCCGCCGAAACGCCGAGCCTCTGCGGTCTTCCGGAAGCCCCGCCCAGCCTTTGTGATTCACTGAAAGTCCCGCCCCTGGGCGGGTTCAGAACGCCTCTCGCAGGAAGGAACCGAAGTCCCGCCCCCGCGGCGGAGCGCCCGCCATGGCTGATCCCCCGGTGGCCGCCGCGGCCGTCCTGCGCTTGGCTGCCGCTGCCAGCTGGAGGGCCGTGCGCGGACGCCACGTGGAGTCCTTCCCGCGAGTGTTGGAGTTCCTGCGGGCCCTGCGCGCTGCTGCTCCCGGCTTGGTTCGCTACCGCCACCACGAGCGCCTGTGTATTGGCCTGAAGGCCAAGGTGCTGGAGCCACTGGTACCGGGAACGCGCCTCGGGGAAGGGGCGGGGTGCAAGGATCGGCGAGGACGGTCCGCTTGTGGGGCGGGACCGGCTGCAAAAGGGAATCCGGAGTGGGGATTCTGAGCTCAGTCGCCTTCCCAGGTGGTGGTGGAGCTGATCCTCCAGGGCCGGCGTTGGGCCCAGGTTCTGAATGCCTTGTATCTCCACTTTCCACTGTCTGGACCTGCTGTCGTGCGGGACCCCAAAGCGGTGAGTAATCCCCGGAACGGTCCCCACCCACAAGTTAGTCCTTGGTCCCCCTAATTTGTCTTATCTTCTTTACCTTCAACAGACAGAGCAGGATCTGAAGATCATCTCCGAGGCACAGGAAGCCTTTCACCAGCAGGTGAAGCTGCTGGCACAGGCCCCTGAAGATTTGGATTGGAAGTTGCTGGTAAGACTAGCTGATTGTGGATACTGTGATGTGGCTTTCATTTCCTTTTCTGACCAGCTTTTTTCTGTTTGCAGGAGCTTGAACAAGAGTACGGGGAGCCCTTCCTGGCTGCTATGGAAAAGCTGTTCTTTGAATATTTGTGTCGGCTGGAAAAAGCACTGCCTACCCCCCAGACACAGCAGGTTTTCCTGGGGCAAAAGACAGGGCAGAGAGTGGGTGGTCGGATCACGGACTGTGGTCTCCATGCTCTCTCCTTGCCCACAGCTTCAGGATGTGCTGAGCCGGATGCAGCCTGGGGTGTCTATCATGTCTTCCTTTGCTTTGAGCCAATATAGTGTGGACATGGGGTGGCCACTTCCAGGTACCAGGACCACTTGAAAAAATTAGGAATTTTTGGTTGGAATATGTAGCCTGATATCTTTTGAGACAGCCAGCCCATTGGAAGGATTACGTGGAACATTCTTTTTTTTTTATTTTATTTTATTTTATTACAAACTTTAATTATGAAATGAATAATTGTGGGCAATCCTACATACCCACTGACATTCTTTATTTTTTTTAAATATGTTTTATTGATTTTTTTTTTTTTGCCCCCCTTCCTCCCCAGTTTTATGTCCATTGGTTGTACTTATATGCATGAACACAAGTCCTTCGGTTGGTCTGTTATCTCCCCCAGATCTTCCTCCCCTCCCCACTATAATTTGACAGTCTGCTTGTTGCTTTACTGTCTCTATATCTGTCTCTTGGTTCATCAGTTTATAATGTTCTTTATCATCCACAAATGAGTGAGGTCATGTGGTGTTTCTCTTTCATTGCTGCAAATGATGAGAATTCCTTCTTTTTTATGGTAACCATTCTTTTCTTTTTAGAGTGCTCTGTTACTCATTCAGTGAACATGTCAGAGCCCATGGAGCCCAGTCCTCCTCAGCAGCCAAGACCAGCACTCCGTCAACCTGTGTCACAAAGCAACCCTGGCCCACACCTTCCTCCGGGACCAGTCTCAACAAAGCAACCAGAACCTCTGGCTGGCCACCACTTCAACCTGGCCCCTCTGGGCCAACGAAGAACCCAGGCCCAGTGGGCATCCAGGAGGGTAGGCCATAGGAGCCCTCCACAGTCATGCTATTCCACTTTCGGAATCTGAGTTCACCCACCCAGGTCATCTGTCAACCCAGAACAGGAAAGAACAAGGGACACGCATAGCAGTTCCAGCAGGTGGTGGGGGCACGAAAGCAGCCTCCACTGGGAAGTCGCGGAGTCTGTCCCAGACCGTGGGCGGAAGGACTGTGAAGGAGAACACAGGTGACGTGTCCGCCTCGGAGCAGAAGGGGTGAGTGGAACAGTTGCTTCTGCCTACTGGCAGCACATTTCTTGCCTGCTTTCCCTTCGTCCTATCTTCTTGGCTGGTTCCCACCCCAGGAGATGCTGGGACTACCCCAGGGGGCCCCTGAGGTTGTGTACTTAGTCAGGACTCGATCAGGCAACCTCCTCTCCTAGGATTCCCAAGCGCCTGTGTTCATCTAGAAGAGAACTTTGATTCTGGTTTCCTTCTTGCAGTGTGTTCTCCATCTCTGTGCAGCCCTGTCATGACCATAGGGGACTTGGCTTTGGACTCTGAGGAGGAAGAAAATGGCCAGTGTGGAGGAATGGTGAGTAGGGAGCAACAGAAAGCTGGGGAAAGAAGGGGATGGAGCAGAACAACACAGAAACCCCGAATATAGAGGGCTCAGGGGATGTTTCAGATGACAGGATCTCCTTGCTCGCTTCTTTGCAGGAGTCTCTGGAAAACTGAGAAGACGACGTTTGACACCCTATTTCCCACCTTTTGTGAATACCTCCCCTCTTATCATCCTAGTGCTGAGTTTGCCACATGACCATATAGATCCTCTGATAGGACCAAAATGCCATCTCATCCTGCCTGTCTCCTGTCTCCTCACTTTTGCAGGCCATGTAGTGAGGATAAACTGGAAACCCATCCTTGGGCTGCTTGACTCCATGGCCCAAATTACTTTGTGGTGCTTGATCATTAAACTTTGGATTTGTTAAAATACTGTGTTGGTATGAGAAAGGGTGATGAAGGCTGCTATTTATAAGGTCAGGGTAAGTCATTCCTTAGAAACATGACTGGACTCTCCAAGGCTAAAAGAATCCCTTTGCCCTTTACTTCCCTTGGAAAGTGTTGTTCAAGTGTATCAGAAAAATTATCAGGGCTGAGAACCTGGTTGAGAAATTTCCCTTTGCTATTTTGAAAATATCTGTATGTCCTGATGTCAGAATCTATACTCTAAATTTTCATACTGTCAGTTTATCTGGAAGTGTGAGTCGTGGGGTGGTAGCACTTGAGTGCAGATGCTTCATGGGAAAAGTACTCACTGTCCTTGAGTCCATTTTCCTGATTAGCCCGGGCAGTAGAAGGCAACCACGTGCCTCAGGGGACATGCCAAGTAGGGGGAGACGTTTTCCTTGAAGAACAGGTGAATGACAAGATCCCCCATTTCCTCCACACCCTCCAGAGGGGCAGGTGTGGGGTCAGTGCCCATGAGTGTCCTGATATCCTGTGCTGAAAGGAAATCCCTCTATCAGGGACAATAAGCCCTAACCTGAGCCCCACCCAGCCCCTAGCACTTGACTTCACCTCTGTTCCCCAACCGACACGGGCCCTCTGGCCTCCCTGCAGTATCCCCTCCACCCCGCCCCCCAGCAATTGGTCCAGCCCTCCTGCTTTCCCAGACACGCCCCGCCCCACAGTCCTGGTCCAGCCTATCCCTGTTGGATCTGGTCTAGTCCCGCCTCCAGCACTTGGTCCCGCCCATGGCCCAGGTTCAGCCTCTGCGTTATCGGGTACACAAACACATTCCCGCCCCCTTCACTCATCCAGCCTATCATCATTGTCTGCCTTCCCCAAATATCCGGTATCAGCTCTTAGCCCCGCTTCACACTTGGTCCGGCCTCTCCGCGTTCCCAAATACTCTTGTCTTTCCGGATCCCACTATAGCCCCGCCCTGGCCCGCTGAGTGACAGCTTCCGTGAGGGGTCTCTCCAAGTGTAGTTTCAGCCTAAACCGGTGTTGCTCAGTGGGTAGAACATCGGCCTGCGGACTGAGGGATCGTTGGTTCGGTTCCGGTCAAGGGCAAGTACCTTGGTTGTGGGCTCATCTCCAGTGGGGGGTGTGCAGAAGGCGGCCGATCGATGTTTCTGGCTCTCTCCCTTCTCTGTAAAAAATAAATAAAAATTAAACAAAAAGTGTAGTTTCTCACAGACACTGACCAAGCGTTGTCGTTGGCATTGTAAGCGGCACGCAGTACTTTGAATTTGATCACTTGGTAGGCGAACATTATTTTATAAAATATTTTCTTCCTTATACTCTGGTTTCTCTTCAGATCGTATAAATCTTTCGCCTTTTACTAAAATATTTCCTTCCAAACTTCTCCCCTTCGTCCCGCCCCTTCCCCCCAAGCCCACCAATCATGGCTTGGTAAGAAACCGGAAGTCGGCACTGCGGCCCGTGGGCGTGGCTTTCGCCGAGCTGCACTGAGTCTGCTCGGGCACCGCCGCCTGCGTCATTCGGCCGCGCCCCGACTCTGCTCTTCCGCTTGGCGCGGTCTCTGGTCCGGTCTTCGGGGTCGGAGTTTGTCGCGGGCTCCCCGCCCTCGGGGCTCCCCATGGAGGAGACGGCGCGCCCGGCCGCAGCCCCGGAGGCTCGCACCTCGCAACGGACGGCGACGGAGGCGCTGGCCGCGGGATCGCTGGGCAGGTCGGCCCCCTCGGCCTGCGTGAGGGCGTGATCGGCGGGGCCAGGAGGGGAAGCCGGCGCCGGGTTGCCCGCGGGGTGAGGCCGCCTCTGAGACGGTGCGGGCGGGCCCGCTGCCCGGGGACCCGCGCCGGCCTGTTGTGGGGGAAGCGAGTGTTTCCTCGGACCGGCCCCGAGGACTCCCCCCGGGGCCGGGGCGCCGTGCCGGGCGGTGGCGCGGGGGGGGGGGTCCTCACTGCTGCGGAGACACGGCCGGAGGCGTCGGCTGTTGGGGTCGACGGAGTTGGTTAAAAAGTCACCGGATCCCCTTCCTGCTCCGCACGGAACTGAGAAACGCCGAGTTTTTAGTTTGTCTGTTTAACCTCTTCGCTCGCTTTGTCAGTTTGTCTGATACAAAGCTACTTTTATTTCTGATTCCCTCTCGAAATTCTCTCTTTACATGCCATGTGCCCAGGTAATCTTTTTTTTTTTTTTAGAAGAGGAAAAATGAGAGACTAAAGATTTGTGTCATGGAGGCGAGGAACCAGATTTTTAAAAATTTCTTTATTGATTTAGGTATTACATATGTGTCTTTATTCCCCCATTACTCCCCCTACCCCCTAAAACACACACACACACACACACACTCATGCCCTCACCCCCCTGCTGTCTGTGCCCATTGGTTAGGCTTAGATGCATGCATGAGTCCTTTGATTGATCTCTCCCCCTCACACTCCCCCCCCCCCCCCCCCCCCCCGAGAAACGATTTTTTATCCTTAAGAACTGGTCATACTTTTTTTTCCCTAGTTCAGTGTTTTTTTCTTTCCTGGCCAGAGCCAGTCTGCCTGGTTTTAAAAGTTCAAATGGCAATAAAGGGTATGTATTACCTGCGACGCAATGAAAGCGCAGTCACCTCTACTGCTTCTGCCTTTTTTTTATTTTATCTTTTCATAAGAGAGAGCATAGTAAACCTGTACGTGAGTTAAAAATCTTAATTTATAGCTAACCTTGCCCCATTAAGTTTGGAGATTTAGGTCAAGCTCAGAGTTTATAAAATAAATTTAGATGTTTTTTAAGGTCCACTCTTTTAGCCACTTACTAATGTACAGTACAGCTTTGTTGAATATAGTTCCTATGTTGTACATCACTCCCCTAGGACTGACTTATCTCATAACTGGGAGTTTGTAACTTTGGTCCCTTCGTCCATGCTAGCACCCCCTAGTCCCCTACCGGTACCTCCACTCTGTTCTCTGGTCCCATGAGTTCGGCAGCTGGAGGGAAGCTGGCGCAGGCAGCCGGGGGAAGGAGGGCCTACTTTTGCACAAATGTCATGCTTTGGGCCTCTACTGGCTTTCTATTACGGTGCCATCTTCTCAGCCCCGAGCGCATTGCTTCGATCATGGTGAACAGCAGGGTGTCCTCTGAGGGAAGTGGGCTCCATGTGGGTCGGGCATGTGCTCCTGATCATCACGTGAGGATCTCGTGTTGCCTCCTGCAGGTTTGGAAACCGTATCCTCGCCTGCGGCACCAGCATTGCAGCCCTGCGATCCATGTGACTCGGCAACTCCTCCACAGCAAACGCCATGAGCCCGGGGCGCGGGAAGTATGACTTCTGCATCGGCCTGGGGCTGGCTATGAGCTCCAGCATCTTCATTGGAGGGAGCTTCATTTTGAAAAAGAAAGGCCTTCTGCGACTGGCCCGCAAAGGCTCCATGAGAGCAGGTAGGTCCTGTGTGTGTGTGTCCCCGCTCCTCCCGGCCCTCTGTGGGGCGGTGTGTGGTGTGCTCAGGGCTGGGCCTGCAGAGCCCACTTCTTCCTCCCTCGGAGTGTTGTCAACACCGCCAGCTGCAAGAGTAGTAAATGTTTATGGAGAATCAAACACCAGTTTTCTAAACAGGAAAGTAAGCGAGAAAATGTCTCCTGTGGTTATTACTAAACTGGGATTAGGGACCAGTGGCCATTGAGCACTTGGCCGTTTCCCTAAATCTTGTGGCATCTGCAGAACAGGCATTGGCTCTGACCTGGAGAATCCTGTGGAAGGCGGGGGCTTTCCTCTGTGACAGGAGAAGCTGGGTTTTCCCCGTGGGTTTTGTTCCCCATGAGAGGGTATCCCTTGGTTGAAGAGTCCTCCATCAGTGAACTTCTGAAGGGCGGGGTCGGGTGTCTGCCCAGTTCCTGCTGACAGGAGACCCTGGGGGACCCTGGTGTGATGGGAGCCCACTCTGGCCTGGTCACTCGTGACAGTTGCCAGGATTGTATGACATCTGGTCACGTTCTGTCTTCAGCCTCCGAGGCAGCTCTACATCCGGTTCTGACCTCAGATGACCCTCTGTGGCAGTAAAATACCACCTCCCTGTTTCCTGTGACATCTCCATGGCTGGCCCCTAGCAGGCAGCTGACACTGAGTGTTTGCTGCCCTTTTGTGGGCAGAGGAGACAGAACTGGCCTGTGCTGCTTGAGCGGGTGGCCCCTCACTCCTGGTCAGTCCCAGGCGAGCACTAGCCCTGGGGAGACACTGTCGGTGCCTCGTTTGCATGTTTCCTGATGGCGGTGGCTGACCTGCTGCTTGCTGATTGTGTTGCTTTGGTTGGGATGAAAGTCAGGTGAAGAGGCAGGAGGAGCGCAGTGGCAGCTCGGACTGAGCCGTGCTCGGTCTTTTCATGTCTGGGCGGTAAGGAACCCCCTTGGAGGTCACCGCCCAGATGTGGGGTGACTATTACTAAATGACTTGTCTGCTGGAAGACTAACCTTTTAGAAGTTGTGCTACTTTTTACTGGCTCACTTTGTTTACTGAAGCTGCATGTTCACAAGGAAGTATAAGATTGATTTAATCCTTTCACTCCACAAACCTAAACATTTTAAAGATATTGATGACCCTCCCATCCTCTTTTATTGTATAATCTTAAATATGTTATCTAAGATATCCCTTTCTAGATGATTGGACTTTTATTTAAAGTAGTAGTACTTAACATGAGATTCTAAAGTCTTTCATTACATATTTTGCATAAGTTTGTGGGCATCTGATACTTTTCCAAAACGTGAAATGTCGTTTCATCCACAGGTCAAGGTGGCCATGCATATCTTAAAGAGTGGCTGTGGTGGGCTGGACTGCTCTCAAGTATGTATGGAGACTTTTTCAAGGAAATGCAGTTGTATACTAAATGTTTGCAGATTCAGTTACAGTTTATTATTACTTGCAAAGTTTAAAATTTCAAATCCTATTTAAAATATATATTTAGCACTAGCTGGTTCTGCTCAGTGGATAGAGCATCAACTTTCAGACTGAAGGGTCTCGGGTTTGATTCCCATCAAGGACATATTCCAGGTTTTGGCTCAATCTCTAGTGTGGGGCGAGTAGGAGGCAGCAGATCATGGTCTCTTACATTGATGTTTCTATCTCTTTTTCTCTCTCCCTTCCTCTCTGAAATCAATAAAGATAAGTTAAAAAATAGATACATACATATTTATTCTATTGTCCCGTGGCAAAAAATTCTTGCACTGGATGGGTATCCCTCGGCCCAGTCTGTGCCTTCTCACAGTGCAGGACCCCTCGCTCCTTGCCGCTCTGCTCACTGCTCCTTAGTGCTGCCACAGAGGCGGGAGAGATGCTGTGCTCACCAACCATGAGCATGGGCTGCGTTATCTGCCCCCTGGTGGTCAGTGTGCATTTTAGCAACCAGTCATTCTGGTTGTTTTGCCATATGGTTGCTTGGGCTTTTATAAATAGATTTTGTAAGACTCAGCAAAGGATATGTTTTTATTGGTTTTGTTTTATCTATTTTATTGTTTAATTATTAAATTTTTTAATTTTTGATAATCCTCACCCAAGCATATTTTTCCCATTTTTCTTTAGAGAGAGAAAGAGTGAGGGGAGGGAGAGAGAGAGAGAGACATTGATTGGTTGCCTTCCTCACGCACCCCACATGGGCCAGGGATCCAGCTTGCAACCCAGGTCTCTGGTAAGAGCCGGTGGGGATGACGTGAGGAACACTGTCACATCACGCTTAGTGTATGCAGATGTGTATGGAAACAAATGCAAGTTCTCCATGTTGAGTAGCTGTGTTCCTGTCTGAGAGTTTTTCGTTGTTGTTTATCTCCAAGTGGGAGCCGGTGAGGTGGCCAACTTTGCCGCATACGCCTTTGCCCCAGCCACCCTCGTGACTCCGCTGGGAGCGCTCAGCGTCCTCGTCAGGTAAGGACACTGCTGCACGGGAGAACAGCAATTAGTGTGTTACACCAGGATGTACTCAGTGACGTCCGTGTGACTTACACATAACCCTTGAGAACTACTAAATAGCTGTTGTAATCTTCTTTAAAAGATTATATTCTGTGGATAGGAAGCTGTCCATCTGTGTGGCAAATGCTTCCTGCTTTGTCTCTGTGTGTTCAGAGCCAGCACTAGTTTTACTGTGCTTTGAACTTGTTAAAATTCCAAGCTGCACTTGTCTCTATAGTTATCTTCTGACCCATGTGCACACGGTGGTGTGTGAGTGCTAAGTATTTCCCCAGCACCACATCTTTGTTTCTGCACGTAAGCAGAGAATTGCTCCCTAATCTATACGCAAGCAGCAGGTTAAACAGTATATGTTGTTCTTTACAAAGGTCAGTAGTATTTTTACATTAACAAGCTGCAAAACAAGCTGACAGCACGTTTTCACGAGAGCTATGACTTTTGTCCCACCGGAGCTGTGTCCACCAAGAGACCCCTGCTTTCAGGGCAGCTCCGAGGAAAAAGTCCCCTGTTTTCAGGGTGGCTCCCAACAATTGATGGGGCAGTAAAGGTGCATCTGAGATTGGCCAGGTGCTTGCCTGGACCGAGCAGTCCCAGACTCGACCAGCTCACCCACATGGAAGCCTGGATTCTGGCTACTGTTCCCAAAGCTGATTGACAGGGATTTGTATCCTTCTCCCCCTACTGCCCACAAGGTTGTGTTTTTGTGTATGTGTATATACTGTATATAAAGATATCGTATATGTCTTTGATCCTTACGTTTGTGTATATGTCACCAGTGTTATGTTTATATTGTATTTTGATAAAACTAGCTATAAAGTATTTAAAGTTGACAACAGGCAAGTTATATAGATAGAATTAAATGAACATCTAAGAAGTCTGCTTCCATGATTAAGGACAAATTAAAGTTCAGTAAATATTAAGCATTGGCTTGAACATAGATTTTTTAAATATATTTTTATTGATATTTTACAGAGAGGAGGAAGGGAGAGAGATAGATAGTTAGAAACGTCGATGAGAAACATCAACCAGCTGCCTCTTGCACACTCCCTACTGGGGATGTGCCCACAACCAAGGTACATGCCCTTGACCGGAATCGAACCCGGGACCTTTCAGTCCGCAGGCCGACACTCTACCACTGAGCCAAACCGGTTTCGGCTGAACATAGATTCTTGAGTAGAATATAAATTCTTACCTAGCTCCATTTACTGTAAGCTTCATATTGATTTCCCGCAGCAGCCTAAAATGGTTGCTTTACCGGTGTAGTGTATGGTGAAGCAGGTGTTTCCCTAGAAGCTCCAATTTATGGTTGGAGACATTTTCTAGACCTTTACCGAAAGCCAGAATATTTATAAACTCACCATGTTTCAGTTCGATTTCCATTCAAAATCAGAATCGTGTTGATGTTTAAAAATGAGAAAAGTATCCCATTATTCTAATCTTATCCACTTTCCTCCCTCCCCCAATGTTAGTGCCATTCTTTCTTCCTACTTCCTCAATGAAAGGCTGAATCTTCACGGGAAGATTGGGTGCTTGCTGAGCATTCTGGGCTCCACAGTAATGGTTATTCACGCGCCAAAGGAAGAGGAGATCGAGACTTTAGACGAGATGTCACACAAGCTCGGGGATCCAGGTCAGAAAAAACAAAAGCTTCATTAATCTTACTGCCTTTTCACTCTTTATTTTTTAAATTTTAATCCAAACTTTAAGCCTTGGCTGCTGGTTCAATGGTTAGAGCCTCAGCCTGCACAATGAGGGCTCCAAGGTTTAATTCCCGGTCGATAGCACATACCTGGGTTGCAGGATCAGTCTTTTGCCCGGGTCAGGGCGCCTGTGGGAAGCAACCAATTGATGTGCCTCTCACATCAGTGTCTCTGTCTCCCCCCTCCCTTGCCCTCACCTCCGCCCTCCCTTCCACTCTAACTAAATAAATCGAAAAAATGTACTTGGGTGAGGATTTAAAGGAAAAGTTACATGTATACAAAGAGGCAGATTGTTCTGTATGGCCGGTTACTTCCTCGATTGTTTTCATATTTAAGTGGAGTCCGTATACAACATTAGCTTAGTTTTATGTGCATGATAGCCTGATCTGACATGCACAGGCACGCCTTAGGGTGCGGTGGACACACTGAGTTGAGTAACCGTCATTCTCAGACTTAACGCTTCCCTTCACCTCCCCTCTAGCAACCATTCCTTCTGGCGTGACTTTTACTTTCTTGTTTTAAGTTTTACCTGAGCAGATAGTGATCTCGTCTGCTTAGTTTTCTGTGAAAAATGAGTGCATCCATCCAGAATGCTGTCAGGGATCTGATTCTCTGTCGGGAGTCGCAAACACTGAGTTCTCCTTGCTGTTAAGGCTCTTGGGAACCTCTCCCAGGGCTGCTGGCCTCACAACATTGCTGTCGAGAGGTCAGCCTAGTTTCCTTCATTTCAGCATCTGTGGTCCCAGTCACTCCTGCTTTTTCCCTGGACATCTTGTTCCCTGAACCCTGGGTTTGCCCCTCCTTCCGGTGAAACCACTTTTGCAGGAGGCACAGAGGCACAGAAGACAGGGCCTTTTTGAATCCGCACGCATATCCAGTTGTCTCTCGTCTACCTTGTCTCCTCACTTGCTTGCCAACCATCCAGACACAGCTGATCCTTTATCTTTGTTTTATATGGAATCAGTCATTAGACTTGGGTAACCTGTTAAGGTATCCTATTGGGCCCTCACTGTCTGAAATTTTCCTACATGTGGGTCAGTTTTTAACCATTGTGCTGGGTACTTGGTGATTTGTTTTATTTTGTCTTTGTTTTTGTAGCACACAAAAATCTTTATTTTGCACGAGCCATACAAACAAAATAAATGTTTCCTTTTGGTGAGGGAATAGGTAGAGGTTCTGGTGCTAAAACAGAATGAACAACTAGATAACTACTTTTTAAAATTAAGATTAAAATCAGACCTTGGAAGAAATCCAGGGGGCAGGAGTGTGTGAGCTGTGGGGTGGGAACAGAGGGTATTTACAGCAGAGTGGGACGTCAGGCTTGAGAGTGAAGGCGGGATGAGGTGGTGAAAGTGTGCAAAGCCCAACAAAGAAACTGAAACCATGCTTAGGTAGGTGGGAGAGGCCTGGAAGAAGCTGAGCCGGGAAGGTTGTGGTGAAGGTGAAGTGAGGAGGTGAGTTCTGGGGGAGGCTGAACACAGAGGATGGCAGGCTGGAGACACCTGGTCTGTCCTGGCTGCCTCTGGCACGGCAGAGAGGAAGTCAGGAAGACCTCAGGCCCGGGAGTGATGACTTCTCAGTTTGAAACTACTTTCCCAGGGCACTTGAGCAAGCACCATAGGCTGCCATGTGCTCCCGGGTCAGAGTTGGTGGAATCTGTTCAATCTTCTGACTGAAGTGTGGTGAGTTTTGTTGCCAGGGCAGCAGCAGAAGCTGATATTTTTATTTTATTTTATTTATTTTTTAAAATATATTTTATTAATTTTTTTACAGAGAGGAAGAGAGAGGGATAGAGAGTTAGAAACATCAATGAGAGAGAATCATTGATCAGCTGCCTCCTGCACACCACACCCTCCACTGGGGATGTGCCCGCAACCAAGATACATGCCCTTGACCGGAATCGAACCCGGGACCCTTCAGTCCGCAGACCGACGCTCTATTCACTGAGCCAAACCAGTTTCAGCTTGTTTTATTTTTTTAAAATGTATTTTTATGGGTTTCAGAGAGGAAGGGAGAGGGAGCAGGAGAGAGAACATCCATGATGAGAGGGAATCATGGACCGGCTGCCTCTTGCACGCCCCCTGTTGGGGATTGAGTCTGCAACCCAGGCCTGTGTCCTTGACCAGAATCAAACCTGGGACCCTTCATTTTACAGGCCAATGCTCTCCACTGAGGCAAACCAGTCAGGGCAGAAGCAGCTTTTTTTATTGTAGGGCCAACCCTCATTTTCCTGTGAAGTTAATATTTAGTTCCTGCTTCTCAGTTTCCCTTTAGTGTTTAAATATTTGACGAAATATAACTTGTGTTGCCCGGCTGGTGTGCCTCAGCAGTTGAGTGTCGACATATGAACCAGGAAGTCATGGGTTCAATTCCTGGTACAGGCAGCTGATTGCTGACGTTTCTCTGTCCTTGATGTTTCTGTCCCACTCCCTGTCTAAAAAACAAAAATTGTTAAAGACTTGTCTCTGCCTCCTCCAGGTTTTGTGGTCTTCGCAACCCTTGTGGTCATTGTGTCCCTGATACTGATCTTCGTGGTGGGACCCCGCCACGGACAGACGAACATTCTCGTGTACATCACCATCTGCTCTGTGATCGGAGCATTTTCCGTCTCCTGCGTGAAGGGCCTGGGCATTGCGATCAAGGAGCTGTTTGCTGGCCAGCCTGTGCTGCAACACCCCCTGGCATGGGCCCTGCTGCTGAGCCTCCTGGTGTGTGTGAGCACACAGATCAACTACCTGAACAGGGCTCTGGACATATTCAACACCTCCCTCGTGACCCCCATCTACTACGTCTTCTTCACCACCTCTGTGCTCACCTGCTCGGCGATTCTCTTTAAGGAGTGGCAGGACATGCCTGTGGATGACATCATCGGCACCTTGAGTGGCTTCTGCACTATCATTGTGGGGATATTTCTGTTGCACGCCTTCAAAGACGTCAGCTTTAGTCTAGCAAGCCTTCCCGTGTCCTTCCGAAAAGATGAAAAAGCGATGAACGGCAATCTCACTAATATGTACGAAGTTCTTAGTAACGAAGAAAGTTTAACATGTGGGATTGATCAGCACACTGCAGAGAATGTCTCTCGAAGAAATGGAAATCTGACAGCTTTTTAAGAAACAAAAAATCAAAAGTTGATAATTGTTATAAAGTGAACTTTAGAATCAGAATGTGTCGGAAAAAGCAGTGTTTTCAAATAATGTTCTCTAGAGACAATCTTTTTTAAGGTTTCACTTAATTTGGACCAAGAAACTACTTTTCTTATATTTAAATGATGGTAGCTCACAAAAATAACCTCATTACCTGGCCAATTTTTGTTAACATTGTATTATCGTAGAGGTATTAAAATTTTTCACCAAAATCTGAATGCACTAATGATAGATTTAAGTCTGTGAAAATGCTATTTTTTTTTTTTAATTTTTTTTTCATTGTGGATGAAAGTCTGAAGTGGATACATATGTCATCCCCACCTTCATCTGTCCTTGCCCTTCTTAGGTCATTTTTATTTTTAAAGAACAAAGGCCAGCTGGTGTGGATTCACCAGTTAGATTCCCGGTCAGGGCACATGCCTGGATTGCGGGTTCAATCCCTGGTCGCTGGTGTGCATTAGGCAGCTGATTCGTGATTTGCTTCCATCATTGATGTTTCTGTCTCTCCCTCTCCCTCTCTGAAATCAATAAAAACAGTTAAAAAATAAAAAAAGAACAAAGATCTTATTTTGGATTACTTTCAAACGCTGTCATGCATCCCAACTCCGCTGTGCCTGCCACTCCCGTTCAGGGCACAAGCCGGGTTGTGGGCTCCATCCCCTGAGTGGAGCTTGCACCAAGCAGCCAATGGATGGTTCTCTATAATCTTTGGTATGTCTCTCTCTCCCTCTCCTTTCCCCTCTGAGATCCATAACATTAAAATCACACACATACACAAAGTCTCTCTTAAAGCCCAGTAAGCAAAATGGCAAGCACACGTATGTGGATATATATGTGTTTGGATATGTATGCTATTTTGTTTTATTGACAACAAGCTTCATGTCAAAGTTTCTGAATGCGATAACATCGTAGGTGTTTTAATGCCTAATCATGTCGAATCTATTGCCAAATTAAAAGAGCAAGTGCGGGAAGTTTTAGTTCATTACTACTAAGTACATCTATGGGGGAAATCCACATTAATAACTGCTATACCTGGTAAAAACAGTTTTGTGATCTTTTGTCGCCTCCTTGTGGACACATCTGGAATTGCGTTGTCTAAATTTTTAATTTTAAGCCATCCCAAAGCAAAACTACAGAGAAGTTACTAGTGTAGCTCAGAGATCTCTCTTCATGAGCATTCTGAAATTACACGTGAGAAACCCTGTGAACCCCCAGTATTTTATTTTTTCTCCCCAAAACTTAATGGGCAATTTCCTATAAACCAGGTCCTACTCCTGCACAACCATCAGCATCCTGATGTTCATGCTGATGCTTTTTTGCCGTCCAATTCTCTGACAGGAGTCCAATGTGGCCCATTGTCCCAGGAATGCCCTTGGCAGCAGCCAGAGACCTCGCTGCCAACCCCTTCCCGTGAGAGGTGCACTTTGCATTGAGTCCTCACCTCTCCCAGTCCCCCTCCTGGAACCTGTCACAGACTGGAGTGCTTTAACACTTTGCAGAAGTGGCAGATAATAATGTGTGGAATCGGGGATCTTCCAGGCTGCAGAGACGCCCCCCGGAAGGCAACCAAAACGGGACGGAGCCAAGGTGCCCCGGACCTACGAACCCCAAGAGATGGGGAGCTAGGGCGACCCCCCTTCGCAGGGGTGGATCAAACCCAGGCAAATGCAGTGTGAACCCTGAGTTAACAGAGGTAACAGCCCGCAGCCAAGCAGTCTTTGTCTCCCGGGCACAGCGATTGCACCTGGCTGTACCCCAGCAGTGTGGCTCAATGGTTGAGCTTCTACCTGTGAACTAGTAGGTCTCAGATCTGATTCCTGGTTCGATGCCCGGGTTTGGGCCTCCACAAGTGGTGTGAAGGTGCATGAGGCAGCCGATTTTCAGCATGAGTGTGTATCCCTGTCACTTAAATCAATGAAAATGTGTTATTTTATTTTAGAGATAAACACAGTGGCACCTGTGCCAGCTTGCGGGGCTGCGGGCGGGGAAAGCCTAAAAGGGAGGTGGCAGCGGTAGGAGGCCTGGAGGAGGCACTTCAAGAGGCAGAGAAAGTGGCGTCTCTGTCCTGGGGCCGCCTGACCATGGCTGCAAGGTCGCAGACTGCGGGTGAGGGTTGGAGAGCAGAGTCCCCTCCCTCCCCGGAAGGACCCGCAGCTTCCAGTGCCTGGTAAGTCCGCCTCCGATTCTCAAGCAAATGTTCTTTTTGTCTCTGTTCTTTGGAGCTTTGAGTGCAGAGGAGACCGTTAACCCCACCGATGCCCTCCAGCCGGTGTGGCTCTGTGGTTGAGCTTCCATCTACGAAGCAGGAGGTCGTGCGGTTCGGGTCCCAGGCAGAGCACATGCCAGGCTGTGGGCTCCATCCCCAGAGTGGGCATGCTGGAGGCAGCCCATGGAAGGTTTTCTCTAATCATTGCTGTTTCTCTCTGTCTCTATCTCCTTTTCCCTCGAAGATCCCTAACGTATTAAAAAAAAAAAAAAATTGCCGCAGCCGGTTTGGTTCAGTGGAAAGAGCCTGGGCCTGTGGACTGAGGGGTCCCGGGTCCGATTCCAGTCATGGGCATGTACATTGGTTGCGGGCACATCCCCAGTGGTGGGTGTGCAGGAGGCGGCTGGTCTATGTTTCTCTCTCATCCATGTCCCTAGCTTTCTATCCCTCTCCCTTCCTCCCTGTAAAAAATCAATAAAATATATTTCCTAAAAAATAAAAAATAGACCTTTTTAAGTCCTGGTAAGCATCATGGCAAGTGCACATATGTGGACGGATATATATGCGATTTGAAAGGGATGCTATTTCAAATAACTGTCTTCAAAACTTCATGTCATATTTTCTGAAGGCGTTTATCATCATAGATATTTTTACGCCTAAAAACGTCGAGTTTAATGACAAAAAGAAGGAGCACTTGCAGGGAGTGTTACTTCATCGTTAATAACCGCATCTATGGGGGGGAAAATCCCTATTATTAATCTATATACCTGCTAACACCGCTTTTGGGATGTTATGTCGCCGTCTTGTGGACACATCTGGTATTGCACCGCTTAAACTTTTTTTTTTTTTTTCAGCCATCCCAAAGCAAGAGGACAGTAAAGTGACAAGTATAGTACAGAGACCTCTGTTCACGAGCAATCTGACATTACCCGTGTGATACCCTGTGAACCCACAAACGTTTTAACTTTTTCCTCCCAAATAGCAGGGGCGATTTCCTATAAACCAGGGCCTTGTCCTACACAAACATCCGCATCGGGGGTTCACACTGATGCGTGTCTGCGCTCCAGTCCCCTGAGGGGATTGACATGTGGCCCGTTGTCTCAGGAATGCCCTCGGCAGGCGGCCAGAGACCCCGCCGACACCCCCATCCCGTGAGAGGCGCACTTTGCGTGGAGTCTTCGCCTCTCCCCGTTCCCCTCCTGGAACCTGTCACAGACTAGAGCCCTTTAACGCTTTGCTGAAGCGGCGGATACTAATGTGTGTAATCGGGAACCCTCCAGGCTGCAGAGACGCCCCCCAGAAGGCAACCAGAACAGGGGACCGAGCCAAGACGCCCCGGACCTCCGAACCCCAAGAGATGGGGAGCTGGGGGACCCCCTCCACAGGGGTGGATCCATGCAAATGCCGTGGGAGCGCTAAGTGAATGCGGTGGGAACCCTGAGTTAACAGAGTTAACAGCCCACAGCCTAGCAGTCTTTGTCTCCCGGGCACAGCGATTGCACCTGGCTGCGCCCCAGCAGTGTGGCTCAGTGGTTGAGCCCGCCTATGCACCGGAAGGTCTCAGATCCGATTCCCGGTTCGATGCCCGGGTTGGGGCCGCCGCGCCAGGCGTGGAGGTGCAGGAGGCAGCCGATTCTCGCCGTGGATGTGGATCCCCGTCGCTGAAACCAATGGAAATGGGTTATTTTCTCTCAGAGAGAAACGCGGTGGCGGCTGTGCCGGCTTTGCGGTGCTGCGGGCGGGGACGGCCAGTCAGGGAGGTGGCAGCGGCAGGAGGCCTGGGAGAGGCGCTCCAGGAGGCAGAGGAGGTGGTGTCTCTCTCGGGAGATCCCTGTCCTGGTGCCGCCTGACCGTGGCTGCAGGGTCGCAGGCTGGGGGTGAGGGTTGGAGAGCAGAGTCCCCCCCCCGAAGGACCCGCAGCTTCCAGTGCCTGGTAAGTCCGCCTCCGATTCTCAAGCAAATGTCCTTTTTGTCTCTGTTCTTTGGAGCTTTGAGTGCAGAGGAGACCGTTAACCCCACCGATGCCCTCCGGCCGGTGTGGCTCTGCGGTTGAGCTTCCATCTACGAAGCAGGAGGTCGTGCGGTTCGGGTCCCGGGCAGAGCACAAGCCAGGCTGTGGGCTCCATCCCCAGAGTGGGCATGCTGGAGGCAGCCCATGGAAGGTTTTCTCTAATCATTGCTGTTTCTCTCTGTCTCTTTCTCCTTTTCCCTCGAAGATCCCTAACGTATAAAAAAAATAAAAAAAAATTCGCCGCAGCCGGTTTGGTTCAGTGGAAAGAGCCTGGGCCTGTGGACTGAGGGGTCCCGGGTCCGATTCCAGTCATGGGCATGTACATTGGTTGCGGGCACATCCCCAGTGGTGGGTGTGCAGGAGGCGGCTGGTCTATGTTTCTCTCTCATCCATGTCCCTAGCTTTCTATCCCTCTCCCTTCCTCCCTGTAAAAAATCAATAAAATATATTTCCTAAAAAATAAAAAATAGACCTTTTTAAGTCCTGGTAAGCATCATGGCAAGTGCACATATGTGGACGGATATATATGCGATTTGAAAGGGATGCTATTTCAAATAACTGTCTTCAAAACTTCATGTCATATTTTCTGAAGGCGTTTATCATCATAGATATTTTTACGCCTAAAAACGTCGAGTTTAATGACAAAAAGAAGGAGCACTTGCAGGGAGTGTTACTTCATCGTTAATAACCGCATCTATGGGGGGGAAAATCCCTATTATTAATCTATATACCTGCTAACACCGCTTTTGG